CTATAAATGATATTACTTTGGGCACGACAGGTTGTAAGTTCGAGTCTCAGTGATGATTATATATCTCTTCATTATTTTTAGGTAAGTGGAACATAAAAATAAAAGAAAAACTAAAACGATAAAGATAACATGGAGAATTGTCAAGTTTCTTGAATCCTACGTGGCAAGAGATTGTTGTATAACAACCATAATATAAATTATAGATAGATAGATAGATATAGATAGATAGATAGAAGTTAAAAACCAAGTATTGTCTTGTGCCGAGAAACGTTAAAAGTAGTTGTTTGTACGATGTATCAAAAGTAAAAATCGAGTCTTGTGCTGACCAAAACCTGAATGTACCCCCCGCTTTTTTGTGTATCGCAATTTTGCAATTCGAGCCCCTATTTCACCCTTTGCCACCGGCCATGTATTTTTCCATATCTCACACCTTCTCCAGAAACGAACATAGATGCAAGCAATAATAGAAATCAGCTATGCACAAATTGTTAACGCGCGTAGTAACTCGAAAAAAAAGAACTACTTCTTTTTAACGCTTGTAATTAAGTCTATGTAATAGTAAAAAAGGAAAAAAGTTTTATGAACCAGAATTGCAATAAGTGGACTTAGTCTAGTGATACTATTATTAGCAGTGATGTCAAAGCCGAACCGAGCCGGCCGACCGGACCGCCAAAGCCGCTACCCGGCCGTAAAACCGGCTCGGATAAGCTATTTAACCGCCACGGTTTTATAGAGCGGCCGGCGAGCGGCCGAAGCGGTTAACCGCTCGAGCCGCTCAAGCCGGTCGCGCGGTTCGGCCGTTTGGTTTACTCTAAAAAAAAATGTCAATCGTAGATGGGGCAGCCAAACAAAACTCTAACTTTCTTTTTATTTCTTCATCTTCGACCTAGAAGTAGAACAGACGACAGAGGGAGAGCGGCGCCACCCTGCCGCCTTCAACCATTGCCCCACCGCTTCCGTCCCGTCGCCGCAAGCAGCCCGCCATCCTACAGCGTGGTTATTCATCTCCCTTCTTCTTCTTCACTCTTTCCGTTGGTTCTGGGGATTTCTATGTTAACGATTGGTTTACTAGGTGTTTGATTAGTGGTGGATCTAGTAGTCGTTTGTCTAATCTTGACGTGATTAGTGTAGATTTTGAGATTTGCTGATAGGGGCAGCTAGTTTGCTTACGAAATGGACTACCGGTTCTCAAACGGTTTTTAAACGGTCTAATGCCGGCTGGACCACTAATGACCGAGCCGTTCACGTTACCGGGTCATACTCCGGCTCGGCTTTGACAGCATTGATTATTAGTCTTGAATTTAAAGATGTCAGGTTCGAATAATTTAGAAGCATCCTATGATGAAAAAGCCTTATCTCCCTTATCTAAAAACAAACTTTTATATTTGGGGTAATTACTAGCGGCGGATCCAGGGCAGGGTAGAGCACTGGGCCGTATTTGAAAAGAGGTGGAGAGGATTGGGTCGTAACCCGACAAAACCCAAAAACACACCAAAAAAATACCTAAAATACAAAATTTACACGTACTATACTAGCTGTGGATCCAGAGAACTAGCTGTGGCCCGGGGGCGGCCCCCTGGATCCGCCGCTGGTAATTACCCATGAATTCTGATTTGGGCGGAATCAATCCCTTACATACCGTTTGACATATATGAATCTCACAAATTTTTTAGTTTATATTTGGAATATAAAAAATTCATTTTCACTTTAAATTTTGAATTCTGTGAAATTGAGAATAATTTTATCAATTGTGGAAAATTGATGAAATTTTCAAATGAATTTAACGACTATTTTGCCTCTCTTGTTTAGCAAATAATAAGAGAAAAAATGAAACAATTATTGTGTGTTCAGCTTATTACTCTCAAAACATGGATGAAGAACAAAGACCAAGTTCCCTCGTACTTTGGTAGTTTCTCTCTACAAATAACTCTTATATACATTTAATCTTACATATTCTCACATTAACATACTTAATAAAGAGGCAAAGACAGACTTTGAAATTGGAAATAGTCAGAAGCTATTCAATATTTTGTGCACAAATAAAAAATAAAAAACTAGCGAGTTAGCATCGGCTGCAAAAGGTGAAAAAAGTTAATTAGCTAACAAGCTTTTTGTTTAGTATATACTCACAAAGCTAGAATAAAGCGAAGTTGAGATTCAAGGGTTGGAGCTCAATGGTTGTAAAAGACTAGTATCCAAAATAAAAATATTAATATCCCTATGTGTTGAGAAATCCTCTATTTTATTTTGAAAATTTTGCTCTACTTTCTCCCAAGGAATTTAGATATAATTTGGTATCGCTCATTTTTGGATCACTAGAGCTTGGATTGTCTCTAATGAAAATAAGACGTTGCGGGATTTGTTCTTTGTGGTAGGCTTTTCCTCTTCAACGATTGTTCTATTTTTTTTTTTTTTGGATTTCTTGTCTTTCTGGGTTTTTTTGGTTTCTTGTGTTTCTTAGGGGTCGTTTGGATGAGGAATTGTAACGGATCAATTTGACACAATTGTCTCGTTTGCCAGAAAAAATTTGGATGGATCAATCTGCCTGAGGTATTTTGAATTGATCCGTTTTGAGTCAATTTCACTTACCTGGGGTGGGGGCAGGTAATTCGAATGGACTCGTTTTAATTGCCTCATTTATAAAACGAGACAATTGATCAAATTGACTCATTTCTAGATTGATCCATCCAAACGACCCCTTAGTGTTTTTTGGGTTTCTTGCCTTTCTCGGTATTTTCGATGGCTTTCTATTTTTTTTTTTTGTAGATCATTGCTATTTAATGTCATGGATACCAGTTCATAAATGTGTTTTTTCTTATGAATACTAGTTCTATGCAGTATGAATATTCTTCTGTGTTATATGAATATCAGTTCGTGTATGTATTGTTTCATGCTAGATATCATTTAACAAACCTTGAATACTAGTTGGTTTGAACATGAATGTTAGTTCGTAATTGATTGACTGAATACTAATCATGTGATGTATGGATACTATTCTGTGTTGTCTGCATATTAGTTCATGAATGCGAAATATGATGGATATCAGGTAGCAAACTTTGAATACTACATGATTTGACTGTGGATATTAGTTGATAATTGATTGGCTGAATACTAATTCTGTGAGTTGTATATTAGTTTTGTGATGGTTGGATACTTGCCAGTGCTCTCTGGATACTAGTATGTGCTCTCATGTATACTTTAGTACTTGTTTTCATGTTGAATATCATTTAGCAAACCTGGAATACTAGCTGGGTTGAATATGAATACTAGTTCGTCCATATTGAACATCGGCGGATCCAAGGCATAGCATATCACTGGGCCACATTTCATTAGAAAATTAGATACCGCAAAAAATTATAATTTTTTTACAATATCAATTGTACACGTCGATCTTTTAATATAGTGAAATCATCAATAAAGGAGCCTACATCCATACTAATCGCATACTACTATTTTTTCAAATAAAATAGTTAACCAATCGACGACAAATTCATCGCTAATTTTGTTGCGCAAATCATTTTTCATATGTTTTATTGTTGAAAAGGTTCTCTCCATATTAGCTGTTGAAACGGACAATGTTAACACTAGACAAATCAATCAACTAATTAATTTGTATTGTGTATCCATCCCTATTTCCACCACCTACTCTAGTGATTTTTCAAGTGAACAAATCTCATATTTCTTTTAGCCTTTTACGTTTTGGACTTTTAAAATCTTAGGTTTCATTGTTTGTTTTTCTTTAGACGAGACTCATTTGAGCTAGAATTTCTAGACTAAATTTAGAGTTATGATTTGAATATATTCATCTTACTGATTTTCCTAATTACACACAATTTTATTATAAAATAACTGTGCCAAATGATTAAAATCGATAAAGGCATAAGGGCTATACTAGTTCCGGATCCAGAGTAGGGCTTGGCCGTGGCCCGGGATGGCCACCCCTTAGATCCGCCACTGATATTGAATATTAATTTTTTTCGACTGGATATGAGTTTTCTCGACTGGATTGGTTCCCCGCCGGAAAGCCACCAAAATCAGCTTTTCATTGAGCCATTGAGCCCCAGCCTATGGATCTTCACTTTGTCCATGTGGTCTTCCATCTAGGGATGGCAACAAAACCCGAACCCACGGGTACCCACCCGACCCAACCCGGTCAACGCGGGTAAAATCCGTGTTGACGGGTTTTGGTTTAAACCCGCTACACTATCACCGGGTCGGGTTGGGTTTGGGTTTAGGTAAACCCGCCCCATGGGTACCCGCCCACACACATATAATTACTTTCCCGGTATATTTAATATTCTAAATAATATATCTTCCTTAAACAACTAATAATATTCTTTATGTTTGTGGAGACATGTATAATTTGTTCTTTCTAATTGTTTAGAATGAAGTTGATATTATGAAGTGGAGAGTGAAGAAACTTAGTTGACGAGAAAGAAGCTTTTAATTTTGAACAATTTGTATTGATCATTTACGGTTTGCTTGTATGCTCTAGATTGGTGTTTTTTGTATGAATAATTTGTATGAGAAAATTGATGTTAAACTTTTATTTTGAAAGAAACTTGTTATTGTAAATTTTTTACCACAAAAACCCACGGGTACCCATGAACCCGCGGATACCCAACGGGTTGGGTTGGGTTTGAGTTTTTCAAACCCAGCGGGTTTTACCCCGAGTTTTTTTAACGGATAAACCCATGGGTTTGGGTTTAGGTTTAACAAAATCCGCCCCAACCCGACCCATTGCCATCCCTACTTCCATATCATCCACCATGAGTATATACTAACTAAAACTCTAAAAGTGCTCTTAGTAGAATAGCTAGGTGCCTAGGTTGGTGAAAGTTGTACTTGTACCATTCTGCACCAAAATCTGACTCCTTGACAAGCAATCCGAGCGGGAATCGGATGACTCATGGGGCAACATAACCCAATTGTTTCCAAGCTGGGCCTACGAAGCCCATAAACCCAGCCCACAAGAGATCGCTGCTCCGTCTTCCCTATGATTAGGCTTACAGTTACACGCTCTTCCAACTCCGCTGTTTACCTCAGTTCAGTTCCCAGCCGCCGCCGCCCGCCACACTTTTCCCCCCGGTATCGATCCCGCCGCCGTCGCTCAGGTGAGCCCAGTTGTCGCGTGCACACAGATGTTAAATACATGGCAGAAAAGGATAACTCGTTTTCAAATTCACTTGCATACTGGTTAGGATTTTCTAGGAGGAACCTCACTCACTGTAATTGTGTTCTTCTTTGCACCTTCTTTTCTTCATGCTTGCAGTGAAACAACGCTGGAATTAAATATGTGGGTAGGAGAGGGATTGAAGGTTGAAGAGATTCATGGGAAAGGAAGGGGTTTGGTTTCATCTCAGCCATTGAAAGGTGGTCAAGTTGTGCTCAAAGATTCCCCGATTCTCCTCTACTCTACTCGCCCGTTGAATCCGCAGCAGCAAGTCCATTCAACCTCCGCTCTCTACTGTGACAATTGCTTCAGAAGGATACAGCCAGCTTCAGCTGCAATACCTTGCCCTTCATGCTCTCACAACAACAATCACCATTTCTGCAGCACTAACTGCCTCTCAGTTGCAGCTGCCTCCTCTCACTCTCCTTGGGTATGCCAATCCCTCGCTCGCTTAAGTAATTACCCTGATCTTACTGTTCATCAGCCTCTGGAGCGCCAGGTTCAAGCTCGGTATCTCGTGGCTGCCTACAATCTAGCTATAGTGAACCCTTCCCAGTTCCAAATTCTGATGTCTCTCCAATCCACCCACAGTGGTGATGAAGTTGCATCAGCGAAAGCTGCCGTTTTCCTGCACTCCCTTATATCCACGCTTTGCCCGCCTCCTACCACAGCGCAAGGGTTTGCCTTTACGTTGGAACTGACATCCTTTCTTCTGGCGCGGGACAGGCTCAATGCTTTCGGTTTGATGGAGAACATTCGTGGGGAGAGGTCGGTCAGGGCTTATGGTATCTACCCGAGAGCTTCTCTGTTCAATCACGATTGCCTCCCGAATGCTTGTAGATTTGATTATGTGGACTCGGAGTCTGGTTCTAATACCGACATCATCATTCGGATGATTCACGATGTCCCTCAGGGCAGAGAGATCTGCCTTAGTTATTTTCCAGTCAATGAGAGCTACTCATGTCGGCAGAAGAGACTGCTTGAGGATTATGGATTCGCCTGTGATTGTGACCGATGTAAAGTTGAAGCGAATTGGTCTGATTCGGATCAAGAGGAAAACGACGGGGGAGAGACTGACCAGGTGGAGGAGATGGATGAGGACCAAGATGAGGATATGGAGGCAGGGGAAGAAGATCTTCATTCGGGTGATGATGAAGCCCGAGAAGACTTTCCTCATGCTTACTTCTTCTTGAGGTACATGTGTAATGTGGAGAATTGCTGGGGGACAATGGCTCCTTTGCCTCCATCAGATGGTAACTCATCTAATTTGCTGGAGTGTAATGTGTGTGGTAATCTGAAAAATGAAGAGCTTCTTGGTGCTGAATGCTGATACTATGGATAGAGGAAGGCAATGAATTGTAGTCTGTTCAACTACTACGATGCACAAGAAGATTGTTTTGAGTTATCTGGCAAAATACCAGTACTTTGTTCGCCATTTTTGAGGTACAAGATTGGAGGTTGAAAGCTGGCTGAGACTTAAAGCTCACAGCAACTATGCATTATTAGCTTTTACATTAGACAACTTTTAGATTTGAAAGTCGTCTAGAAGACCGTAGTTATAAACAGAAAGGCTCTTCTTGGATTAATTGATCAGGGGCAGGGGATGAACCCTGCAGCAGCAATGGAGGAACAGAGCTTGTACGCGGCGGCAAAGAAAAGACAAGATTCTGCCCTGGTATTATATTTCCAGTCTTGCTTGCCAGCAGTATCATGAGGATTTTCATGTTCAAATGTAATTCGTGAATGCCTTGCATATTCTCTTGTAATTCCTAGGTTTCGCCTTAATCGAGTAACGAGGTCATATTGCAAAGTTCCTTTCTTTGATATTACTAGCATTTGTTTTATGAATGTGTTTGGCAATCAAAATTCATTGTTCTGTCATCTGTGCCACAAATGCCAAGATGATCCATGTCCATCGTCTTTCTTGGTCCCGTGGCATAAATCAGAATGTGTTGCTTTTTGAGTATCTATGCGAGATAAGTCAAATATTAATTGGGAATTTATTGTTGGGATACTGACTGAATTTGACGGCTTTGACAGTAATTTTGCATTAATTATAAGATAGCATCCCGTACTTAAGGAATGATAATAATCATAATAATGATAATAAGAACATCCCGACTTAATTTGGGAGGAAGAAAACTTGCCTAGATAGGCAACATGAATCAAGATTTGTGTACCAGAAGGAAAAGGGTTGCCTGCTGGCACCAGGAAGTTATTGAAGAAGCTGACCCAGAATCATGTCTGAATCCATTTAGTAACTCTTTTTCCTTCACCCTTTTTTTAGTGCAGTTAAATACCAGACCCCACTGGGAACAATAAAGATCTAAACTTTCTGCTGATAACAAATCTGCCCATGTGATTACTTGCACAGAATTGACAAGAACAAGTGAAAAAGATTTCATCTATACTACAAACAATAACCACCCATCTTGTTCTTTCCCTTTAATAAAAAGCCTGCAAATACTCTCCACCCCAAAAGAGAAGTCTTGTGCTTGCCAAATCTAGCTTCCTGGAATACAGTTTCAGGAATCTGGTTTGACAGTCCACCATTGGCAATATCAATCCACCAAAGTCAAAAAGAGAATCTTTCCCTCCCAACATGCCACATTGCTACTAGAGCCTCTCAAGCTTTTTCTATTTGATTAGAGAATCAGACAGGCAGTTCCAAGAAATGGACAAAATCAGTTGTACGAAGGTTGGCGTTCTTCCAGGTGAGTCCGAGGACAAACCAAGTGGGAAGATGGGGTACAAGGTTGGCAGCAGAGGGATCAAATGTGAGAAGCTGAGGAACCTGATCATCAGAGCAGTGAAAACTCACAAGTCGAATTCCAGCAATCCTGCTTCTTCTACACCTGGAGAATCCAGGTTCTGGGCTATAGGAATCACATTGCTGCTGATTGTGATGTGGACTTGTGGAATGCAGTCAATGGCTTTCCAGAATGCCAAGTGGCCAGCAGCAACTTTGAAATTTATCCATCCTGCTGTTATCATACCTGAAAGTACATATAGTTTTTCCTTTACTCTTGACTCCCCAGACAATTATTGCAGCATAGGGTAAAAGCTTCTTACTCTGATTTTTGCTTTTCTCCAGGAGTTTACCGCAACAATGGATATCTGACTGTGTCATCCAATGGAGGATTAAATCAAATGCGTTCAGGAGTAAGTTTGAAAAAACTCTTGAGACATTTTCTACCCTTTCCTTTAGTTGATTTTGGTTTGGTCTTCTATTTTTCTGAAAGCATATTTCTTTCAGATTTCAGACATGGTTACTATTGCAAGATTCTTAAACCTGACGCTTGTAGTTCCCGAACTGGACAACACCTCATTTTGGCAAGATAACAGGTGATGAACTCAAATTAATTCTGTCAATATTGTGGTGATCAACCCAAATTTACTTGCCTAACAGTTTCTCACAAAAGGATAATCCGGTTTATCAATACCCTCATTTTTTGCAGTCAGTTTGGGGACATCTTTGATGTGGATCACTTCATTGATTCCTTGAAAGAAGAACTTAAGATTGTGAAAGAGTTGCCTCCATACCAGAAGTATAAACTAAAGAGTCGGCCACTGTTTCAACTGGCACCTCGTAGCTGGTCTAACATGTCCTATTACTATGATACGGTTAGTTTTTCATTTTTTCCCCGCTTTTTTACCTTCTCAATTAAACTTTGGTTTATGGTCCAAGTACTTGAAAAATTACTGGTGACAACCAGGTTCTGCCAATCTTCAGAAAGTTCGAAATAGTCCATTTCCTGAAGACCGATGCTAGACTCTCGAACAACGAGCTTCCTGAGAATGTTCAGAAGATGCGGTGCAAGGTTTACTATGAAGGGTTAAGGTTCACTCCACACTTGGAGAAGATTGGGAAGAAGGTCGTGAGCATCCTGAGGAAGAAAGGTCCCTTCTTGGCTCTTCATCTTAGATACGAAAAGGATATGTTGGCATTCACTGGTTGCACCAAAGAGCTTAATAAGCAAGAAGTAGACGAGCTTACGTCAATGAGGTTTGTGATTCAGAGTTTCTTCCTGTCTCCCCAATTTGGGTTTTCTTCTCTCATGAGGTATGTTTCAAAAGGTATGCATGTCCATGGTGGAAGGAGAAGAAGATAAACTCGACACAGAAAAGGGAAGAAGGGTTATGCCCAATGACTCCAGGTGAAGTTGGGCTTGCACTGAAAGCACTCGACATAGATCCGGAGATCCAAGTCTACATTGCTGCCGGGGAGATTTATGGAAAGGAAAAGAGACTCGAGGGTCTTAGAGCTTTCTATCCAAATCTGGTTAGTTAAGTCAGTTAAATGAATCATGAAATAACAACATTCAGATATATGGTTCAGGATAATGCTTAGTCTAGTGATGATGGTTGATTTCTGTTGGTTTGTCAGGTGAAGAAGGAAACTTTGCTACCAAGTTCAGATTTGGGAGAGATTAAGGACCATTCAAACAGGATGGCAGCAGTGGATTATATTGTGTCATTGGCTAGTGACATTTTCGCCCCAAGCTATGATGGTAACATGGCCAAAGTTGTGGAAGGCCACCGCCGGTATCTGGGATACAAGACGACTATACGTTTGGATAGAAAGGTTCTAGTGACACTGATAGACAAGTACAAAAGCGGGAAAATGAGGTGGGATGAGTTTTCTGATTCAGTGAAGAAGGCTCACAGAGGGCTAATGGGTGGACCTGTTGAGAGACTGAAGATCCCTGGGAAGCCAAAAGAAGAGGATTACTTCTACTTAGATCCTGAGGAGTGCTTGCCCAAAATGTATCCGTCTTCACAGGGTAAAAGGTCAGACAAGAAAAAGCATTAGAAGCTCCTCACTTTTCTGCTAAAGAAACCTAGAAGCTGTTTTCTTTTTTCACTGTTACATTTAGCATAAGTAGATTGTAAAGTGGTTATGCAGTACAGATATGATTTGTAGAGTTGTTTTTCCAACTTTGTATTATCTCCACTTTTCTCCATTCCAAACTGTTAATTTATAAATGGATAAAGGAAAAGGTTGATCATAACAGTTAGGCTTTGTTGCCTTTTGCTGACACTTCAAAGTAAATCAGGAGGAGTTTGATTTCCCAGTGGTTTTAGAAGAATAGTTCTATTCGATCCATGAAAACCCTAACCCTAAAGGTATTAAATTGGCATATGCTTTGATCCACTGATGATCAATATTTTCAAGGTGGCAGTGCCAAGCTGAAGCAACAATCTTCCATCTAAACGCTGGCCTGAAGCTTTTCCATTTTTGCCGAGGTAAGTTCCAGTTACTAAGTAGAAAGTTGACACAGCAGATAGAAATGTTCTTTTTTCCCATAACCATGGAAAGAGGGTAAGAATTGCCCCTGTAAGTGCAAGGAACTTGTTTCATGCAATGCTGCCGTGTCAGACTTCTCGCCATTATGAATGAATCTCAACGATACTCGAGAAGCACTACAGCAAAAAGGACCTTTTGTGACTATTTCTCGTGCAACTAATTTTTTTTGGTCGGCAAAAATTAAGTATTTATAACTTATTATATTTTGGTAGTCAAATGTTATAAGAATTGGTCACTACCTAAAATTTAACGTTTTACAACCATATTAAAATATACGCAACCCATCCCAGGAAACGTGTGATTGGATCTTGGAGAGTGGGCCTTGGTTCTATTCTGATAACATGTTATACCTTCGACCTTGGACCCCGGGGATTGATGTTGAGGATTTGGGGAACAAGGCTCTGCCGATTTGGGTGAGATTTACCAATGTCCCTTTGGAGTATGTGAATTTTCAGGGTATGAGCAGGTTGGGGAGCTTCCTTGGGATCCCGTTGGGAGTAGATCATACGACAAGGTTGGGTGGCAGGCTAGGATGTGCGAAGGCTCTTGTGGAATTGAAGGCTACAGCTAAATTTCCGGACAATATTCTGATATGGCCAACTGAGAATCGCTCGATTAAGGTGGGGGTTACATACAGTCACTTGCCGCCTGTGTGTGATCATTGCCATTCATTTGGGCAGAAATGTGGTTGTAGCAAGAGGGCACAAGTGGTGAAGGCACAAGGGGCTCAGGGAAACAATGTGGTTGAGCGGGTTTGGGTGAAGAAGACAATGGTTGCTAACAATACTCCTACTCAGGCTGGTACCCAACTGGGCAGGATAAAGGGAAAGAAGTCGTGGCAGATGATATGGAATTGAGCACTAATCTCATGGTTGGAACAAATTGTGTGGGTATCAATTTAGAGCATTCGTTTCAGGCAGTAGCAGGTTGCAGTTCACCAGTACTTCCCACGGAGGATGAATTTCAGAAGGTGGTGAATGGAGCTAGGCCACGATGCTGGTCTCCCCTTCCTAGTCCTACTAGTGTTTTGCAAACTACTCAATCATTTGCCGCTTTGCAAGGACTAGGGGATAGGGAGATTACACAATTGCAAGCTGCTCCAAAGAAGGGTGGTAGGAAGGGTGGGGGTTCTCTATCCTCCCCAGGATGAAGGTTCTTTTCTGGAATGTTAGAGGGTTTAATAAACCCTCTAAGAGAAGGGACTTCTCACAAGTCCTAGGTAGACATAAGGTTGATGTGGTGGCCATTCTAGAAACAAGGGTTAGGAAAGCAAAGTCAAATAAAACGGTGGAGGATTTTTGTATAGGATGGAAGAAATTTCTTAATTACAGAGACAGTGATCTAGGCAGGATTTGGTTATTCTGGAATGTGGATATTGAACTTAGGGTACTCGCTGCCAGGAAGAATTTTGTGCACTGTTTGGCTAAAGAAGTGGGTGGAGCTAGTTGTTTTATCACAGCCGTTTATGCTTCTAATGAAGAGTCAGAGAGGAGGGATACCTATAAAGACTTAACTCGATTCAAGCTATCCACAATCCCATGGATTGTAGGGGGGGATTTTAATTCTGTTTTGTCACCATTGGAAACCTCTAATATGACCATGATGACAAGCTGTATGATGGAATTCAGGAGTTGGGTGGATGAAATGGAGTTGGTTGATCACAGATCAAGTGGGCCATTTTTTACATGGACGAATAGACAGCAGGAGAACCCAATTGCCAGGAAACTTGATAGAGCATTGGTGAATGAGGCGTGGTTTGATTGTTTTCCTAACTGTAGTATTGAGGTTCCGGTGGGTACTTTCTCAGATCACTGTGGGGTATGTGTTCATACACAACCAGAGCAGAAAACCCTCCCAAAGCCCTTTCGATACTTTGAGTTGTGGGCTGACCATCCTGATTTCTACCACATAGTTGAAGAAGGATGGGCAACAACTGCTCAGGGAGACTTTTTCCAGAAAATAAAGATCAAATTGAATGCAGTCAAGCAGGGCTTGAAGAGGTTGAATAAAGAAGTCTATAATGACATCAGTGGGCAGGTCAGGAGTACTGAAAGGCAATTACTTGCTGCTCAAGAAAGTGCCCTCTCTGATCCATCTGGTGCTCGTTTTGCTGTGGTTGCGGATCTAAATTCTAAGCTGGGCCAACTTAAAAGGGATGAGGAGAGTTTCTACTGGCAAAAGGCTCGAGTTAACCATCTGAAGCTGGGGGATCAAAGTACCAGGTTTTTCCATCAGTCAGTTAAAATAAAGACAGCTAAAAAGGCAATAAGGAAGTTAGTGCTTGATGGGGGTGAGGAGATAGTGGAAATGGAAGATATAGCTGCTGAGGCAGTAAGATTTTATAAAAGCCTATTTGGGTTTGTTGACCCTGAGGTACACCCTGACAAGCAGTTTCTTGAGGGTCTGGTGTTGCATAGATTAAGTGAGGAGCAGAGGGTTTTCCTTTGTCAGACTTTTACTGCAGATGATGTGAGGCAGGTTGTTGCTGGTATGAGTACTCACAGAGCTCCAGGCCCTGATGGTTTCTCAGCAGGGTTTTACAAGAGGACATGGGGGATTGTGGGAGCAGATATTACTTCTGGGATACTGGAATTCTTTTCTACAGGTAAGCTCCCTAGTAGTATTAATTCGACTGCTGTGTCATTAATACCTAAAGTTGCCTCTGCTTGTAGATTGAAAGAGTTTAGGCCAATCTCTTGTGTGAACATAATATACAAAATTATTGCAAAACTGCTTGCAAATAGATTGAAAAAGGTTCTGGCTACTGTTGTTAGTGGGAATCAGTCTGCTTTTATTGAGGGAAGAAGGATTGTTGATAATATTTTAATGGCCCAGGAGCTAGTTAGTGGATATCACAAGATTACCCTATCTTCTAGATGTGCCATAAAGGTAGATTTAATGAAAGCTTTTGACTCGGTTCATTGGGGATACTTATTCCTAATGATGGAAGTGATGGGGTTCCCTTCAAGGTTCATCTATTGGATCAGGTTGTGCATTAAAACAGCAAAATTCAGCATATGCATTAATGGTGGGCTGTGTGGGTTTTTTGGAGCACAGAGGGGGGTGAGGCAGGGTGATCCCCTCTCGCCCTACCTGTTTACAATCGCTATGGAAGGACTTTCTCTTCTTTTGAACAGAGCTGCTGCAGAGGGGTCTTTGCCTTTCCATCCACAATGTAAGAGAGTTGGCCTAACACACTTGTGTTTTGCTGACGATTTACTTATTTTCACAGAAGGATCAGGTCAGGCTATACATAGAGTTCAGGAGATTTTGAAGGAGTTCCATTCCATTTCAGGGCTGAAGTGTAACCCAAGTAAATGTGAAGTTTACTTTGGTGGGAAGTCAGTATTGTTCAAGCAGGCAGCACTTCAGATTTCAGGGTTTGCTGAAGGAGGCTTACCTGTCAGATACTTGGGGGTTCCCCTTCTGTCTGGTAAGTTGCCTTCTAGTGAGACAGACAAACTAGTGGGTATCATCACGAAGAGAATTCAGTCTTGGAGGGCGAAGAAGCTCAGCTATGCTGGGAGGTTGCAACTGATTTCCTCAGTACTGATGGGGACGTTACAATACTGGATGCAAATATTCATCTTGCCTAAGAGAGTTATCAAGCAAGTTCAAATGTTGTGCTCTAGGTTTCTCTGGCATGGGGGAGAAGAAGGTCGTGCTAAGGTGAGTTGGGACAGGATGGCTAGGCCTCGAGTGGAAGGAGGATTGGGGCTGCGTGAATTATGTACCTGGAATAGGGCTTGTACAGTCAGATTCTTCTGGCTGTTCCTCATGAAGAGTGGGGCCATCTGGGTAGCATGGTTCCAACGCTATAAAATCAAGGATAGGTGTATTTGGACAGTTTCTGATTGTCCAAGCAGCTCCTGGGCCTGGAGAAAGATACTAAAGCTCAGAGGTAAAATTCAGCCTTTCTTGAAGCTTCATAATTCACAGATCATGTGGGATAATAAACCTATGCCTGTGTTCAAGCTGACTGTAGTCTGGAATACATTAAGAGTCAAGTATGTGGAGGTCGTTTGGGCTAAGCTTGTTTGGGGGAAGAATTGCATTCCTAGAAACAGTTTCCTAGCCTGGATGATCATGTTGGATGTGGTGGTCACTAAGCAGAAACTGTTGACGTGGGGGAAACAGACTGATGGATTATGTGTGTTGTGTGAAAATGCAATTGAAAATCGTGAGCATCTGTTTTTTGCGTGTGGTTTTTCAAGTCAAGTGGTAGTGGCATTACGGATGGGGGTACTCTGTTGTGGATCCTGGGAGGATACTGTGTCTGCAGGTCTTGCCTGCTGCAAAAGGAAGGGGATGAGTAAAGTTACTAGCTTAATTTGGTGCCTCTGTTGTGCAGGGATATGGAAGGAACGATGTCGTCGATTGTATGGCAATGAGAGGAAACAAGTGGATGTTTTTATCAGGGAACTTAAGAGTGACCTGCTGATCATTTGCGCAGATAATGAAGAGCTTATGAAGGGCTTGCAGAGTCTTGGTCTGCAGGGGAGTATTGAGTAATGGTGGGTTCTTACAGTATGTAATTCTGTGGAGGGTGTAGTAGGAAGTTGATAGTGCTATGATTGTCTTTTAGGGCTGCTCTTTATGAGTTTTCCTTTCGTTGTATTTGGTTCCATTTGCATCTTGTAAATGGATTTGCCTCTTGGTTTTAATAAAATGGGGAACAGATTCAACGAAAAAAAAAAAATATATATATACGCAACCAAAAAATTAGTAGCTAAAAAAGTGAAACATTTCTTCTGACCAAAATTATTATCAGTGAGTTAAGTAATCTGCGAAACAACTAAATAACTAATAATCTTGTTCACTTAAACATTACTTAATTGTTACTTATTGGAAAATTATTTTTCGACCAAAATTATTGGTCACTATTTTTATAAATTAATACACCAAGTCCCGCTGGGCGCTGCTGCCACTGACCATACCGCTCGTCCCTCCACTTCCCTCATTCCATTTTCAAACTCTTCCTAAATTCTAAGGCTACGACGGGCGGAATCAAAGTATCTTGCATTATGACGATCTAGTCTCCCCCATTTTCACTTCTAAGTGCGGCCACTCCATCACTTCCCAACGAGATCGAATCAATCGTTGAAATCCCCAATTTCGAACCCTTGTTGCTCCGAGATTGAATCCAAACCAATAATCATTGCTACTCCGAGCTGCAGTACCAGTGAATTGAGTTCATAAGCGGTGAATTGAGTTCATGATCTAGATTTCGAGCAATCTCTTGGCTTAGGTCAAACATGATTCGAACGGAGCAATCAACGACGTAATGGCTCTGATTTGGAAGCGCGATGCGGCGGTAAGAGCAAGATCTGGAGGCGTAGGGACAACTTCCTCGCGAAGCCGCTCCTTCACTCCTTGCCCCGCGAGATCGCCACTCACTCACTCATTCGCTCGCGAGATCACCGCCGACTCTTTCGAGTGCGGCAGGAAAAGAGTCCAGTGAAGCAGAATAAAGGACTTGAGAAAGGACGCGATGTCGATCAATCTACCGCCCAACACTACAACGGCGACGATTTGAACTTGAAGCTGTTGGTTTAGGTTCTGGATACAATGGCACGGCCTTCGCTCAATTTCTTCGTTCCTCGAGAGCTTGACCCCGGATATCTCCCGCCAGAGTGAAGTGAAGGTTAGCTTTCGGTATCGATGGCATCAGAACTTCTTCATATTCTCCTCAAGTAACTTGGTTCTGCGCTTGCTCGATATTGTTGCAGGACTCGGTTGTTGATATATTGTTGGAGCGTTGGTGTGGATTCTTCAGTATAAAAGTCAAGCTGTTGTTAAGGTAGCTACAAATGTCGTTGGCCTACATATTGATATAGCGTGGAAGTGATGATGTGAGTACTATACTGGAGATGGTTTCTCTATTGAGTACTATATTGTATCTGTGGCCTCCTGCTTGATATTGCGTTTGGAGCAATGCCAAATTCACGGAGGTGGACATAGAGGGTATGAGCGAAGAAGAGAGATACATGCTTAGGAAGGGGGGTATTTGATGGTTACAAGTTCTTAAGTTACAGGGTATGAGTGAAGGAAAGAGTATTATTCTGTTAGGCGAGTTCAAGTAAAGAGAGTACAGAGAAATCGGCTATAAACTCCTTTTCATGTTGTTGGTTACAAGTACTTTCCTTTCATTATCAGGTAGAAGGTGGTATTTGATGGAACGGTTGAGAACGTGAATCTGACTGGAAATATAGAGAACTTGTGAAGCTAATATGCAAGGAGAGGGACTTTGAGACCGCTCAACAAGTAGCAAAGACTGGAAGCTAAGAGTGTGGAATACTACTGACATTGGAAAGAGTCATTAAGGGTTATTGCTATCATTGTATATATTAGCCAGTAAGAACATTGTCATAGATACTTGAACCCTGATGTCTAATCTACTTGATATACTTTTTTCTGTTTGCAGTCTTTGAAACTTAACGTTCTGAAGCTGACCAGAAATATTGAAGACTTGAAAGATAACATGGTGAGCTAATTATTGTGTTTCTTTCAGCAGGCTCCTCTTGAGTAATGGAATGTTTTTCTTAGCCATGAAGAATGACAGAGTCTGGATACACCTTAACAATGGACATGGAGTCTGCTTTCACTGATCAACAGTCTGAACTAGTTGTCCGGGAACATCCAGATAAGAACAATGAGGTATGGGTTTATGTCATCCTTGATAATTAACTGGCAAAGTTGAAATTTCATTGAAATCCACAAAGTGAATGTAATGAACTGTTCCTTTAGATGATGGAGAAGAGTGGAAGTTATTCAAAATTCTTGAGCTTAATGGATGGTCTGGATGTGCCATCTAGTGGTATTTCAACTCAACAGGCTATTCAGAATGAAGTATAGGTTCAACAGTTAGTGAAGTTTGGAGATTTTCCCTAATTGTTGCTTTGTTCTTAAGGTCCCATCAGTTGAGCATAATGGCAAAATCATGGGGGAGATTCTTGATTTGATCAAGTACTTATATAGCAACTTTGAAGGGCCTTCTCTTATTCCTAATGTAAGATTCTCTTGAACTTAAAATCCTTTCCCTTGCGTCCATATGGATCTATCTGGGAATTGTAGAAGGTGTGCTTCAGTGCTCATAGTGAAAGGGTAGTTGAGTAAACCCAGTTGATTTCTTCAGTGTCAAGTCTTCCAACAGTTGTTGGGATCTCAAGTTATTGGTACAAGATGAATTTGACGTGTAATTTCTTTCATGCATTTTAACGATAAACTATAACATGTTCATCACCTTTTTTCTGGGATCAATAGCAGATGAAGAATGGAAGCATAAGAAGAGCTGCCAAAAGAATTTCTTAAGGATCTTATCAGAATGCTGTGACTGGTTATGCTTTGAGTTTGTAGATGTTTAGGAATTTCTTAAATGAATTTCTTTTGGCAGTGACTGCCAAAAGAATTTCTTAAATGAATCAACACTAGTTTTAATTTGTTGATGTTTAGGAATGGTAACCTCAATCAGTTAATGCTCCATGTTCACTTTCAAGACAGGAAACAATATGAAAAAAAAAATTCCAAGCCTCGTCAATGCATCTTCAAACCTTTTAATTTGAGACAATAAACCCAAAAAAATCGTCACTATGCTGTTTGCCAGAGGTGATTCCTTGAATTTTGTTTCCAGGAATCATTTCCTGGGTTCGAGCCGGGAGATAGCCTCTAACTTTGGTAAGGTAGCTTCAATACTTTAGGTATTATCATAATGGCTCAGAAGGACAAGGATGATAAAGCTGAACGATGGGAGTCTGCTGACCTCCTAGAGAAGAAAAAGACTAGGCCAGTGTGCAAAGCTGAAACATTGCAAAATTCAACAGTTGCTCCTCCACCTAATTATTCTCTTCCACTATCACAATCAAACTTGTGTTTACTAATATCTGCAATCGTTGTGGTGGCATGCATATGTACGATGGAGTTGGAAACACTGAAGGATCGATTTGAAGCATTAAAGCAATGGCCTAACATTCCATCTGTGGTACCAACAAGTAAGTCCATTCTTGGTCTCGTGCAATGGCGGGTTGAACCTAATGAGAACCGGTGTAAGCCTGTCTTGCTAAGTTCCCTTAATCATCTCTAGATTAGCTGATCTAGCCTGCTGCCCTTTTCTAACAAAAATAAGATCTGTGACATGGTTGCCATTGCTAGATTCTTGAAAGTCATGCTTACAGTTCCTGTGCTAGATAACACATCCTATTGGCATGATCAGAGGTAAAATGATACCTCACTCAATTGTTCAAACACCGTACAATTCTTTTGCCTTGACTGCATGCAAGTAGGTTCATTGATTCCAGGTTGTGTCGCAATAACAGTTCATTCGAGGATATCTTTGATACAGATTACTTCATCAGGTCATTACCAGATGATGTTAGGTTACTGAAAGAGCCGCCTTCAGAGGAAAAGAGGAGACCGGAATCACACTTCTATAGAACCCATCTCGTTTCCCAACATGTCATATTTAGTTAACATCAACCTTTTGTGTTTTAGCTTATTTATCAACCAAACTTCTACCCAACTGGGTTAGACTCCATAAACCGGTTAACCTTCCACCCAATCATCTGCTCAACTTGGTCATCTCAAAGTTCCTCAAGGATGATTTGGAGGCCATGCTTGGGACAGATGGTCAAAACATGAGCTGGTGAGTGTACATACTTGTCTGAGAGCCTAAACCTGTGACGCTGCAGAATCATGGAGAGTGCAATCTTTTCCTCGGTGATGCCAAAGTTGATCCCAACACAAGTTCGAGGCCCCAACCCAAATGGAAGAAATGCTGCAGATGAGTTGCTGTTGTCTGCAGTACTGGCCTTTGCTATGCCATCAGCAAATCTCTCTGGTTTAAACAGGTGAGCATCTTCACCCCATGTTTCTGGATCATGATGAACTGCCAGATTTGGGATGTAGACTTCAGTCCCTTTGGAAGTATTAGTTTCCCCAATTTCACTTCCCTCTGGACCTCCCTCGTTATGTGGAAAACTGGAGGGTATAGCCTCAGGGACTCATTGATCACCATACTCAGCTATGCAAAAAAAGAAGCATGAATCAGAATGGTTAAAATCTGTCATGGCGACATCCAAACTACACATCAATGCAGTCGAAGAGGAAAAACAGTGTTTGATATTCTACATACAATTGTTAATCTGGAAATGCCATCAAGAGTTGGAGTTCTGTTGTTGCCAAATAGTTCAAGAACCTGTTTCCTTGCCTTCTCTTGCCATTCTGAGTGAATAGCTAGTAGAAGCACAGTCCAGGTGAGTGAGCTTGCTGTTGTTTCTTGGCCAGCCACATAAAAGGTCTTGCATTCATTAATCAGATCATCCAATGTTATGCTACTGTGTCTGTCGGGACCATTATAGGCCTTGACAAGCAGTCCAAGGAAATCAGTGGCAGGAGAAGTAAGCTGTTCTTCTTCTTTCCTTTTGTTCAACATGTTGATGATGATGGCCCTGATCTCTTGTTGGAGCTTGTCAGATTCATTCTCATCGCTAGTTTTAAAAATGGTTCAGCAGAATATGTCAAAGTATTAAGAGAATTATTTAATTTGACCCACACAAACTGGCCCAATCCGACCCAACTCGCCTGCCGATGACCCATAATTCGCTCAATCCATAACTCGATTATCGTTGCGATTTGATCTACTAATTGCCTAGTTGACCAGTAACCCACAACCTAGTTGATTGAATTGACTCGTGATCCAATTGAAAAGTGACTCCAATCTACTTGAGATCTGATTAACTCGGCCTGAACAAAATATGACATGTTCTTTCAACACCTTTGAATTTCTCAAATTGTCCAAAAGAATTAAGCCTAACCTATTAAAGCTGACGACAAGCACAATGTACCTCTTATCAAATAAACCTGCAACCATTTTCTGAGAAGCTCACAACCTGAACAACTTCTAATCGGATTGACAGATAACCCAATTGAACCATAACCAATTTGGCCCACCATTCGACACTTCTTATTACCACTCCAAAATTTCTCAAGGTTCAACAAGCTCAGAACTGGGAAAAACCTCACCTGAGACCAAGAATTCTGACCTTGTAGTGGTTTCTTGAGATAATGAGAACCATCTTCATCAGTAGTTCAAACACTTTCTCCCCTTCCACGTAGCTGCTGCCAAAAGCTGTCCTGGAAATTATCTATGATGTTAAAATCTTGAACTCCTGGAATGCATCAATCTCCTTATTCTTCCCTCCATGATTGTTCTTCCACCTCTCTAGCCTCATCTCCACACTAGCAATCATCGTAGGAACCATACCCTGAAAGACGAATGTTCAACAAAAAAATATTACTATCAAGTTGGGGGATAGTTCCCATTGTGCTCTAATTGTTTTACTTCATCAAACCTTCAAGCTTTCTCCATGGAAGGCATGGTTTGCTAGTTTGCGCATCTTCAACCATTTGTCACCTCTAGACAAGACAAGTCCATCGCCTAGAAGAACTCTGATGAAATTATGAAAATGTGTCTTCTCGTATGTTCCATCTTTATTATTGAGCACTTCTTTAATCAGCTCAAGTTCAGTGACAACTAGTTGAGACCTAGTGCCATGCCACTGCATAAAAATTTTCTCTGAAAAAAAAAAAAAACAATTAAACTTCATCGTTCAGCTTCACAGTGACTTTCCAGTGAAGAAACTCTTTTTTGTAGTAGACTGTACGTGAAATTTCTATTGAGTGGTGGCAAAAGCTTCTTATGTACCCTTAGATCCCTCTCTCAAGAACTTGGGTTATTTGGGTTGGACCAATTCTTCAGCATAATATCAAAAGAATGAAAGATGATATGAGAATATCTAGATTTGAATCATGGCAACCCTTTTATGCTTACCGTAGAGCTTGATCCATGAGTAGATATGAGGTTGTAGCCTTGGAAGGATATGGTGGGAGAGTTCCATGGTTTGCTTTGCAGCTTCAATACTCATCAGGTTTATCTCCTTGGTGTTTCCATGGATGAATCTATAAGAAGGGCCTTTGATTCCTTGTGCCCTCATTTTGGACTGTGCCCGAATCGGAGTCCACCATAACCTGATAAAAAACCTACTGATGATCAACACCAAGTATAAACACAGACATGGAGAAAGGAAGGTCAGCAAAATCCCTAGTTCAACCATCTCTCTCTCTCCCTTTGTATCTGTTCTAGGAAACCCTTTCAGACTTTTATCCCCAACTTAACCAAAACTGTTCTGCTTTTCCTAAGTGCAAGTGGTTAGCCATTAATATTAAAAGGCTTTGTCATTTTGCCACCTACTGATAACATATAAAATAAAAATGCAATTGGCGCTTGATTGAGTGGTTTTAATTTTATAAAGTTCATTACTGCTAAGAACAACTTGCTATGTTTCTATATGAGAGACTCAAGTGCAATGTTCAACGAACAATGCAAGGCTGGTTGTGAATATAAGATTCACAACAACAGAACTTACATTCATATCCAAATTCTTCTGATGCAAGACACATGCTAGAACGGATCATTCAGAACAAGCTTTGATATATCCAGGATGTGAGTTCAGTATGACATATTTTATATAGAGTGTGCTAGCGAATTTCTATAGAGCATGTAAGACAATCTGCGCTCTATGTTGTGGGTGAGATATACAAAAGCACAAAGTGCTGCATTTCCTGAAAGCAGATGCAAGGACTGCAAACAATGGACCACCTGTAGAGTTCCAAAAGACTAGATGTCAAGCCTGCCAAGAAGCATTGAGATTCACCCCAAAATACTGAGGAGATTGGAAGAAAGATAGTCTGAAGATCAAAGTAGAAGGGTCATTCTTCATCTGAGATACGAGATCGATATGTTGTCCTTCACTGGTACCACTGTTGGTTTCTCTCATGATGAGATTGTGGAGGTGATGGGATCGAGGTCAGCAAGCCAGATAGTTAATAGCTTTTCCAAATGCTTCTTGAAAATTGTGATTCGAGTTTTTAAACAAAATTAAACAGGAAAACTTACCCTTGGCGGAAGAGCATAGCAGATCCTGGCAAGAAAAGGCAAGCCGGGTTGTGTCCATTGATGTCCTGATAAATTAGCATTGGGATTGCACTATTGCAGGCACTGGGGACTCAGGTAAATATATGGAGGAGAAGCCAGAATAGCAAAGCCGGCAGAAGCTTTTCCAAACTTGGTATCGTTACTTTCCCACTGTTCAAATTCCATGGTTTGTTTGTCTACCGATTCTTTCTTTATGACATGAAGAAATGCAGGTCAGAAAGGAAACACTGCTCGATCTATCAGATCTCAGCCAGTTTCAAAACCATTCTAATGCAATGGCAGCTCTGGACTTCATTGTCGCGGTGGAGAGTGAAATCTTCGCTTTGAAATTCAGTGGGAACATGGCATATGCTGCTGAAGGCCATCGAAATTCACAAGTATCAATATAGAAATAAAGCTTGTTAACTAGTTGCTGCTGATGACTTCTGTTTCCTTTCCTAATGGTCTGAATCTCTTGGGTTGGTTGCTCTTCGGAAAAAAGTATCTTGGATTCAGAAAAACCATTAGAATCGAGTCAATTGACAGAAAGCTTCTGCTGAGCTTGATTGATCAGTACAAGATTGGGAAGTGAAGCTGGAGTGAGTTAAGCAAACATATATTTATATAACCTCAGAGGTCTTAGAATGAATAACCATTGATTCAAGTGGCCAGTAGAACCAATAAATGAAAAGAACCATTTACAAAGCCCAAAAAAAGGACCCTAGAAGAAACTCAAACGACCAGAGCAAAGGCTAAGTCTTCAAGCGCTTCTGGACGTGGCCAGACTCTCTTGCACCAGTTACATCTCTCAGATGAATTGCCGTTTGATGGTTAGCAGCAGGGTTCTGAATATCTTGGAAATAAGATACGATAACATTATAGGCCAAACATGTATCCAAATTTAACATGTATGGCTCTTCGATAAAGATCCATCCAATCCTGATAGTGTAACTTTTACCTTATTAGCTGATGTTCCAGAAGCCAACCCTCTGTTGTTTCGTTTCCCAAGATCAATTTGCACTGACATGTTTGCTTGTGAGAGATCTATTCCTGCAGTTTGTAGTGCTTGTGTCAAGGCATTCAGCAACCTGATAAACCCAGAATGCCACAATCGTTAGGAATTAGACACAAAAGTGGAAACATGCATTTTTAGAAAGAATGAAACCCACCCTTCAGTGTAGGCACTGGAGATGCTGATTGTGCCTCCTTCTATACTCAGTTCCTCCGCTTGGTTCAGTGAATCACCACTCACAGGATATTCAGATGATTGCGGATCTGAATACGATTGCTGGAGAGGCATGGTTGTATGTAAACGCCTGATGGGAGGAGGGAAACCCTTGTTTGCTATGTCAGGTTGTTGGTGATCCACGACTTTGTTGCATGCGGCATCTTGTGAAGGGTCAGGTTCCGCAGGAGTATTATGTGCAGTTGCAAGCATGGTGGGGGTAACACCAATGTTATTCTCATCAAATTTCCTGGGAACACCGGCCCTAAACCAGAACCATTATTTACAGCTTGTGGATTCTGAACTCGCCAATGACTATTCCTCTGTTTCAAGGGATGCAAACCAGCGTCAATCGTCTCACTAATAAACATAAGTTTTTAAAGTGTACATAAATAATAAACTCCAATCACACCCAGCATGAGTTAAGAAATAAATCCAGAACTGAATGACCCCTAAAGACAAGAAACCAACAAGATACCACATGTCGAAGGGAATTCTAAGCAAGTAGAAAGAACACATCACATGACTGACAAAAGAGGGAGGGGGGAGGAAAAGAGCTTCAATAAGAATCAGAAAGTCTCCATTATCAGGATACTAAAACATGCCAAATGTTAAGATGTCCTTTTTCCTTGTTTCTCTTAACTATGTTCCATGTGCAAATTTAAAGACACAAGACCATGGATTCAGAGAACCTAAGGAATGATGGAGCGCACCAGCATTGTGGTGGTAGAGCCCTACAAACCACTTGCCAAATAAAATAGTAATATGACACGCAAGATCGTAACATGTTACATGAGCCAAGCCAAACTGAAATGTAGGTTCGACTAAGAGATGGTATCAGAAATGTAAATAGGGGTGGTGGCACAGAGACATGCAGGTGAAAATTATGTACTAAGAAAGAAAAAGACTTGGAACTTTACCCATGGCATCAACTTTGTTGGTTCAGTACTCCACCCCTGGTAGTTACCTTCATGCTTTTGCACCTTTCTTGCAAGTACCGGACATATTCAATCACCTGTACATTGATTTCAGTTTAACAGAAGAAAAGGTTCTGTAAACCCAAAATATATAAGTAGACATCATTCACTAGCCTTGTTAAACGTTACCTCTTATAGAAAGGATGTTGTATCTCTCTTCTGATCACAATGAGGAATAAGTTTCCTAAGTATATGAAATCTGAAAGGCATTGATATTGTGATTAATTAAGTTAGATACCCCCTTTCATAATTCAAGCCTATTTAACAGTTCCTCAATGGAAAAGTCTGAAGTCTAGGATAAACATAAGTTTTCAACAACCCAATAGCACCTAAAGAAAAGGTTAGAACAATGGAGGAACAAGTTACAAACCTTTTTGATCTTACTCCTCCGTCGCTGCTCGGTAACAGAATGTTTCGATCTCATGGCACTAACCTTGTCACTGTTCTTCCCATCTGTTGCCACACCAAAATCCCACATCAAGACACCAGGAATCAACAACTTGATAATACTAAAAGATATCTAGAGGGAAGCTCAACAACCCCCAGTTTTTCGAACATGCATAATTATTAAAACAAAGCTCCAAGCTTTTCCCATGGCCAGAAGTCAAAATTCAGTACTTTCCCCACCAACGAAGAAGCACGCTCAGAAGAAGCATATAAACAAGGTTCAAACTCTCAAAAGGGAATAAAGGCAAACTAAAACAGAGCTGGATCTAGAAGGGGCTGGAAAAAAGAAGCCCATCAAATCAAATTGTACCTCTGTTATTGCTAGTTGTGTTGCTGTTAGTAGTAGAGATATTGGACGAAGGTCCATCTTTTCTGGAACCGGCCGCCACCAAGTCCTCATCCTTGTACTCGTCTTTCTCTAGATGATTCTGGTTACCCTTACCTCTCATTTACAAACTTAAATTCCCTCAGAAACCTGATTCGGACAATTCAGATTTACGCCAGAACTCCCAAATTTCTATACCCATTTTCACAATTTCATTTTGTGAGACGATAGAGAGGCGGCTGTATATATACCAGTGTCAAAAGGAACGAACGACCCTTCCCATTATTTTTTTTCAAAAATGTCTTCTTCAATGAGAAAGAAAGAAAGAAAGAAAGAAAGAAAGAAACAAAGAAACAAAAAAGTGGGGAAACCTGGAGAATTGTCAGTAAGGAATGGGAATTTCGAGGGTTCTGCCCTGTCTGATTCGCCGGCGAGTAGGCGCCACCGTGTCGTGTCTTCTTCTTCGACTGTGTGGGAGGTGGGTTGCTGAGAAAGCTTTGCCCTTTTTTTTATGTTTTTTCACCAATGAGGGAAGCCACTCACTCTCTGGCTTCTTCATTCCCTCCCCTCTTTCTCTCTACCTGCCTTTCGTGCTGTCTTCTCTTCTCTAGTTCTTTTCTTTCCATTTGTATTTTTCTCATTTCCTCTATTTTTGTCGCCTGAATTAATTTCTTAAGCTCCATAATAAAGTATAATTCTTAATTTTTTTCATTTCCTTAATACACATTCTTGATATATTTATAGGTATACAGTACTGAACAAATTATACCACTCTGTTCCACAAGTAAGCTAGTATATTGCTACCAGCCTACCACCATTTTACACAATGTAATAGTATAATAATTGAATTATATGTTTATACTATTTATAATTATGAATTATGGATAAAAATTATTCTTTATTATAATTTCGTTCACTAAGCAATGATTGCAAATTATGTCGAAAGTTGTACCAGAAAAACAACGATAACAAATAAAAGATATGATCACCGATTTCCATCCCCTGTTGCTTACCATACCCTAAATCCTTTCAATTATGGACTCCCTCAATCACTATACTCCTTTTTAATTACACCACAATTTATTATGAGACCTAATGCACAAGCAAAAAAGGAAAGAAATCTATTAAACCGAACGGAAATGAAGAACAGGTAAGAGGAAGAAAAAGAAGTAACGGAAAAGAAAGAAAAACTAATAAAGAAGAAAAGCCAAATGAAATGCTAAACTAACGAAAAAAAGAACAAAATAAAGGAAAGTGGTTTTCTCTCCAAAATGGAGGGTAGGATTGCATAGTGAAATGTCCACTTAACTTTCTTTCCTCCCTTCTTGTAGCTTATTTCGGAAACAGGGTGAAGTGCATTGGGAATGGGACTTTCCTCCCCATTCTTCCCTCCCCTTCCCTTTCCCTCTTTAAAAAACAGAGGGCTAGTGTAATGGTATATTTTCATTCACGTGACAACAGATAGGCAAATGACTGCGTCTGCGTGACACTCTCACGTGGCTTAACGTGGTTACCTCCGCCCCTTTGTCGTCCTCCATTTCTTTTCGTGTTTCCAGCAGCCATGCTCCAGTTGCCATTGGGCCTTAAGCCCATCCCCGAGGCCCATCTCCAAAAAAAATAAAAAAAAAATCGAAACTGGAAAGTTACATATCGAGTTTTCTTTTTCTTAGAAGGTACAAAAGTTGTATAGTTAACAACGTTATTAGAGTAGTTAATACCGTTGTGCCTGTTTAACAAGTGGAATTGTACGACTAGTGGTACAATCAGTTTGTGTCTGTTTGTATCGTCCTAATAAAATATAACAATCCAAATAAAATAACAAATATCCTTATTTAAATACAACATTTGATGTCAATATCTACACCTTTATACTTGAATGTAACAAATTACATCAACTATTAACTTTTATATTCATAAAAAATAGGCCTAATACTAGAAAAGGGCTCGTAGTTTAAGGTTTGGGTCACTTGTACCTTATGTTTATACCGCGTCACTTATGTACCAACATTTAGAGTCTCCATGTCCATAATGTCCTCTGTCGTTTTGTTGACCGTTATACTTAACAGTCGACCAAACGACGGTCAAAGTTAGTTTGACCCCAAATCCCAACTCACAGCACCGACGAACGCACTCCTTTTCCTATCCACAAGAAACCCCGACGATATTGAAAATTACACCCTCTTCCGATGTCGGTCCGTCAACTTTTTTCTTAAGTGACATGGCAAAAGAATCCACGTCATGTGACAAATCACTGGTCAATACATTGACCATAGACAACTAACAGTGAAAGTTAACGGAGCTAAAACGTTGGGACATAAGTGACGCGGTATAAACATAGGGGTGTGTTTTGGTTTTGCAGGTGAACCTCTTACTGCTTTTGGACTAAACCTGTTGAAAGCTGCAATTAGTACAACAATGTGTCATCGAGAAAAGAGATTTGTTCCAATAATTAGCTATTTAGTGGAAGCTTATTACAGAGATTTGTTCCAGCAATTATCGACCTTGATTATCATTTTGTCGCCTGTAATGTTGTTGTTGCTTTTCTAGCTTATGTGTTTGTTTATTTTGCAAGTGAAGCTGCTTATACGGAGCGTAGTCATTCTGCCAGATCTACAAGGATTTGCTTCTTTTTTTCAATTTTAAACATGGTTAGTTTATGATTTTGATCCTTTTAAGGGAAGAAATCATGAAATTTCCCATGTCGGTACCATAGAGCTGCCCATATCGTGGCAGAAAAGGCCTATTATTATCAGACCTGCAAAGGTCTTTTCTTTATTTATGATTTGCTTGTAAAGGTCGTATATATTGTGATAATTTGTATCTGTTTTTTCCTTTTTGGAATATCTATGACAAAAACAAAAGACTTTTGAGTTTTCTGAATTTTCTCACTCTAAAAGGTTAAATTGCACGTTTGGTCACTCAAATTATACAAAATTTTCAATTTTGCCACCCGAATTACTTTCTTTCTTATTTGCCACTAACTTTACGAATCATTTCACCATTAGTCACCGGTTGTTACACTCCGTTAAATTTGTCCTATGTAGCAGTCAACTATAAAGTTTGACTTTTAACTAGATAACGTGGAAATTAAAAAAATTAAAAAATAAATATATTTTTCATCTCATCATTCCACTTTGTGTATATGATTTATCATATTAATTATTTAATAAATAAAAAAATTATTATCAGCGAGGAGAAAGAAATGGCAGAGGCCGCGATTGTTCCTCTTCTTCATCTTCACTGACTCCAACTCAGGCCACCGTCGACATTATCTCTTCCGTCTAGGTCTCAAGGCCGTCACCAGAATTAGCAGCGCAATCGTTGTCCTTGTCAACGCTGACCGCCATCAACAACAGTCGTCGAACGCCGAGTAAAGCCTTCGTCAGCGTCCTCAACTCGCCGCCGTTCCTCTTATCATCATCGTCGTCCGCCCGCCGACATTGTTGAATCGTTATCGTCGCAGTCGTCAGTAGAGGTTGCTCGGATCTGAGCTCCTGCCAACGTCGCCTTTTCCAGGGTCACCGCCATCTCCAGCCGGTCAGCTTCCCGGCAGTCATCGTCGTCTCGAGCAGAATCAACGTCGTGTGCACCGCCGATGTTGTCGTCGTCGACTCGTCATCGCCTCTCTAGTTCATGTCTTAGCGGATTCACTTTCGGAGTCGATTCAGATGCCATGTCGTTCAGTTCACTTGATTACAACTTCTTTGCCCTCTCACCGGCGGGAATTTGGGGTAGGGAGGGAGAAAGTAAACGATGGGGAGAAAGAAGAAAATTGGTTCTTTGGGGGTAGTTGGGAAAGGGAAAGACAAGAGATAAGAGATGGGAGATTATGCTAAATCAGCGGTGGCGATAGTGACGATAATGCCTGGTTTTTGTCCATTGTTCCGAGTCTGGGTTCGGGTTGTGTCGGGTTCGGGTCACTAGAGGAATTTGCATTCGGTGAGGAATCTAACTGATTGGGGATCACGGCGATAGCTGGAGATGTTGTCAAAACGTTCAGCTGCGACCAGAGAGTTAGATAATTAATTTTGTAATTTAATTAGTTTTTATTAAATAATTAATATGATAAATAGTAAAGTAAGTGAGATGATGAGGTGGATTTTTTTTAATTTTCATGTAGTTAACGGTCAAACTTTATAGTTGACTGCCACATAGGACAAATTTAACAAAGTGTAACGGCTGGTGATTAATGATGAAATGATTTATAAAATTAATGGCGGATAAGAAAGAAAAGTAATTCGAGTGACAAAAGTGAAAGATTTGTATAATTCGAGTGACCAAACGTGTCATTTAGCCCACTCTAAAATTTAAGTCGGGTCCAACATTTCTATAAATTACTGGGACTGTGACTAGGGAAAGTGAATGAAGAAAAATGGTTTTTGGCCTTTGAGTGCCCACTAGTGGTCAAGCCCATAATTGCAAGGCATCACCTACATGTTCATCAAAATTCAAGCCATCTTTTGGTAGTTCATCAAAATTCATTCGTTGAGGGAAAGGAACCCAACCTTCTTCGTGTTCCTTTGAACTTCCGGATTAGTTTGTACTTGTAGGTACTAATCCACGGAAGAGTTTTTACTCTTCAAGATGAGGAAATTCATCACTACTCTTATCGTGGTTACAGCCGCATCCATTCGGGCATGATAATATACTCGAAGCCTAATAAGCAACGCCCTAACCTTGCATGGGCTATACGTCCTACAGCTAATCAATTGTGAGCTTTAGCTAACAACGAATGTACACATAAAAATCCAGCCCAACAGAGATCATCAATTTGCTTCCAAGGTACCAATACCGCCTCTTAGTAAACTTCCAAGGTACCAATACCGACATCCTTAGTTCCCTGTAACTATCGAAGAATATGATGCACAACGGCAAGATGATCCACACAAGGAACATATATATACTGACTTAATTACTATTTGAACTGTATAGGAGATATACAGACGTGTGGTCGGTAAATAGATCAGACTACCAACATTTGTTGCGATACAGAGTGTCGTCTTTCAAAAGAGCAGTAGATTAGGCTCCATCACAGTAGGTGTTGATTTGCACTCCTCAACATTATGATCCCCGAGAAGGTCAGAAATATACTTCCGCTGACTCAGCAATAGCCCCTTAAAGGTGCGAGATACCTCCAAGCCCAAAAAAATAAGAAGCTGGTCATTGAGACCGAACGATGCCTGAAGTCCAGCTTTAAGTTTTTGCATACCAACCTGATCTGTACCTATAATAACCATGTCATTCACATAGAGTAAGAGAATAACAAGCTTTATAGTACAAACTAAATTTGTACATTTAAGGTTATGATACAAGTTTAGTTTCTATCTAGTGGCGGACCCGGAATTTTGGGATGGGTATGTCGGTCCATAAAAGTAAGTTAAAATTTTAAATTAAAATAATTAAATAATTAAAAATTACTAGAATATTGTATTCATAAAGTTCACCAAATTCATTTTTTTATAGTGAATTCCAAGACGAAGTTTCATATTCTGAAAGATTTAATTACATTTGTCCATTAGGTTGCAAATCAAACCTTTTTTTATATAAACAACTAAACAATTATTCATAAATTGGTCACTCAACACTCAACCGATACAGAAAATATCATTCTTGACAAAGCTCATATATGAAAAAATTTCATTTTGTAGCTTGCAAATGCAAGAGGTTAAGTAAACACTCATTTAAGATGACAAAGCTGGAATGAGAAGTTGAAAGGGTGGACACAAGTTTCAAAATGGAAGTTTGAATGAGAATGAGGATGTCGCCAATCCCGACAATTGGAGGGTGGCAACAGACATTAATGTGGAAAGTAATATCGAATTAATCAACTAACTTATTAACCAACGAACTTATTAATCAATTTGGGTCCCTCCTCCAGAAGGCTTTTTGAAGATCAACGTCGACGCAGCCGTCAGTGCCTCCGGGTGTTTGTCTGGGCTTGTTATCCGCGGGTCAGACGGGCATGTGTTGTTGGCGATCGGGTTGTAGCATCAAGGTATAGTCAACCCTTACCTGGCTGAGCTGCTAGCGCTCAGGGATGCTATTTCCTTTGTGGCCTCAAGATCCTTGATCCATGTGATAGTAGAAGGTGATTGCGAAGTGGTCGTCAAGCAAGTCCGTCAAGGCGTCTCAGAAGACTCGATTGGTGGTCCGGTGCTTCGAGAATGTCTTCAGATCCTTAGCTCTTTGTCTTATTGTATAGAGTTTAGGGCGGTACATAGATCCGCCAACAGTGCTGCCCATAGAGTGGCGTGTAAAGCACTGCTTTTGTCTCTTGTAGAGCTAGAATCTTTTGATTTTTTGGGGTGGCTTCTTTAGAGTCTCTTAGGGGTCCTGGGTAGAATTGTAAGTTTAACTATTATTTCTCTTTGATATCACTCAGAAAAAAAAAGAACTTATTAATCAATTTAATTCTCATTCAAATTACCAAGGTTATCTCTAAGGTGATAGCTATCTCTCTGAATACTCACTACGTACTAAGTAGCGAATTTATTGTTTACTCTTGTACAACCAACTAATTAACTGCCTAGTATGAAGTCTGATAACTCCTATATTTTAATAACAGTACTACAAAAAAAAAAAAAAATTGTAATGCAATAAGATGTGCTGGTTACAATAATCAAAAGTGTGTCGGAAGCCCCCTATTCAAATTTTTTATATAAAAAAATATGAGTTACTCACAAAAATTTCAGACTTTGTCGGGTGACACATCTCTCTTAGAAGTGTGTCCGCCTCACCAATACTAACTCTAAATTCATTACTTATGTTCAAAAGAGATTGAGGTGGAATTGGGGAAATTTTTTAGCTCCAACTAACCACTCGGTATCCTACTATTGGTTCTTTCACCTTCCTTTTCTCACATTTTAATATTTTTTTATTATTGCTTTAAAATTAACTACAACTTGAATTAAGAAACAAAAACAAAACAATATATAATATTAACGAAAATGGTGGGATGAAGGAAAGATTTATTTGATGATTAAATAAGAAGCTGCGACGGTGGGCTACTAAAGAGGTGTCTAGATTATGGGCCAAAGACCCCATGGAAGGAAACAAACCACTTGAAAAATGGCCAAGTCAAACCCGAGTTAGATCAGGTCCTTAAGGCCTCTTTTTTAAGGAAGATCTTAAACCCTTTTCAACCAATAGGAGAAGGAGAGAGAGAGAGTCATTAGTAATCATTGTCCAACTACCAAACAGAAACGTGCAAGGGTAAGACGTGAATAGAGTAAAAAAAATAATTATTAATAATTACTAATAGGAACTGCCAAAAATCAAATAAACGAAGGTGGAAATTTATTTTCGAGCCCAGGTCCTCCTCCCAACCCTAAAACCGCTTTGGCATTCGTTGCCGTCAGGACAATCGCCGTTGTCTCGCTTCCGTTTTCGTCGTCTGAATACTCGTCGTTGTGTCACCTCCGTTTCCGCCGTCTCGTACCCAACCGTCTCGTCTCGCCTCCTTTCCGCGCAGCCACTCTCCATATGGCCACTTCCTTTCATTAGCGTCGCCAGCCATTACCATTGCGCTGCTTCGCCGGCATCGCGACGATAAAGCGATCCTCGTGGCCGGCCGACCGACTCCATGGACTTGACAAAGACCACAGATTGATTACTAATGGACACAGAAACGTTGAGAACGTCCAAAGAGTGATTAATAATACAAGTTAATTATATTATAACTAAACAATGTAAAAAGATTGAAAATGGCGACGAAAATTATTAATAATTGACCACTGTTGATTACTAATGATGGCGATGAAAATTATTAATTGTTATTATACCAAAATGAAACTGTGTAAAGAAATTGAAACGTTGACAACGACCACAAATCGCTTAATAGTGGAAAAATGAGATAAATCGACATTGCACCATTTCTAAATTATTACTAATGGACATCAAAACGTTGATAACTGGAAAAAAATATTAATACCGAGTACAGACTGATTAATAATGTAGCATTGAAATGTTTATACAGGCGGGGAAAACGTTTATAAAAACCCAGGGTAAATGACACATTTGGTCACTGAGATTACTAAATCGTGTCATATTTAGTCACTAGAAAAATTTAATATCAATTTTGGCCACTCGAATTACTGACACAGGTCACATTTGGTCACTCTTCTGTAGCCTCTGTCCAACTCCGGTCACTCGAATTATGAAAAATGTCACATTTAGTCACTCGTATTACTGAAACATGTCACATTTAGTCACTCTCCCAAAAGTTTCCGTCCAACTACATTAATGTAGTTGGACGGAAACTGACGGGAGAGTGACTAAATTTGACCAGTTTCAGTAATTCGAGTGACCAAAATTGATATTAATTTTTTCTAGTGACTAAACATGACACAATTTAATAATCTCAGTGACCAAATATGTCATTTACCCTAAAAACCCACAAGCATCCACTAAACAAACTGACCAATATAATATAACGGGTTAATTGCATGGTTGGTCACTGAGATTACAAAAAACGTTCATGTTTGGTCATTGAAAATATTTAAATCCAATCTTGGTCACTCAAATTAGTTAAATGGTTCAAGTTTGGTCACTCTCCGTCCAACTCCGTTAAATATGTCTGATGTGGTAGTCAACCCTCAAAGTTGACCGTTAACTCGGTGACGTGGCAATTAAAAAATAATAAATAAAATAAATTTTAATCTTCTACCATTTCCAACTCATTTTTCACAAAAAAGTAAAATAATTTTTTTTATTATAATCACAAATTGAAAGAGTAGCTCCCTCCTCCACCACCACCTCCCCGTCGTCGTTGCCGCTCTCACCACCACCGCCGCCACCATCAGCAGCCAGCAAAGCGACCTTGTCATTTTCCTCTTCCTCGTACTCCGTCTCCGACGAATCCTCGTCCTCCATCACCAGCTTCTCCACCCGTTCGGTCTCCGCCGCCGCTGGAAACTCCGAGAAATTCGGCTAATTAATGAAATTGCTTGCCGCGACGTGCAGTTCTTCGTTTCAGATTGTCTTCATTTCGTTTGTGAAGCTTTGATTCAGTTGCCTGATAGGAGAATCCCGGCCGTAATCAGCGGTGGCGGAGGCCGGTCTCGTCGAGGATGATTTCCTCACCGCGGACGGCCGCAGTGGTGGTGAAGGCGGTGGAGGAGGAGAGCGGTAGACGGTTCTCTTCCTGACGAAATCCTCCGCACTCTTGGCTTGTACCTCGGAGAAAATCGGAGAATCAGATCCCGCAGCTGGAGAATTGGACTGTTCGTCTTTGCGTCGGCGGCTGAAAAGGCCGTAGGAGACGGCGATGCCGACGAAGACGAGGTGGAGGAACTCCCACCCTCTTTCCAAGAAACCTCCCACTCCCCCACTCTTCTCTTCCCCTCTAATATAAAACCCTAATTCCCCCAATTCCTCCACCACCGCACTCCCAATTCTCAGCCTCAAATCATTTCCCATACCGCCGCAATGACCAAGCTCTCCACCACTCCTTCGCCGCCACCGCCACCGATTGTCATCAGGGAAGTATGGGCGTCCAACCTGGAATCCGAATTCGACCTCATCCGCGCCGCAATCGGCGAGTTCCCTTTCATCTCCATGAACACCGAGTTCCCGGGAGTCGTCTTCAAGCCGTTCAACAACAACCACTCCTCCTACCTCCACCAAAACCCCTCCGACCACTACAAGCTCCTGAAATCCAACGTCGACGCGCTCAATCTCATCCAGGTCGGCCTCACCCTCTCCGACGGCAACCTACCGGATCTGGGAACCGGAGCGGCGTAGAGGTTCATTTGGGAGTTCAATTTTAGGGACTTCGACTGAAAAGGTCGTAGGAGACGGCGATGCCGACGAAGACGAGGTGGAGGAACTCCCAGCCGCGAGTGTCGAGGGTGTGGCTGAGGAATTCTGGGGCCTGGGAAGGGAGGAGAGGCAGTATGAACATGAAGATGGAGATTGCGGGAAGGGATGTGGTGGAGGAGGAGGGAGCTACTCTTTCAATTTGTGATTATAATAATTTTTTTATTTTACTTTATTGTGAAAATGAGTTGGAAATGGTAGAAGATTAAAATTTATTTTAGCCTAAATTGCAAGTTTGGTCACTTGAATTACTAGTAAATTTCACGTTAGCCACTAGAATTACTTTATTCCATCCGTAGTCACTTAAATTAGGTTAACAGTCCAAGTTTGGTCACTGGCCGTTAGTCTCCGTTAACTTTTGCTGATATGGCGGTCAACTCTCATAGTTGACCGTTAAATAGGTGACGTGGCAATTAAAAAATAAATATAAAATAAAATTTAATATTCTTTAAATTTCCACCTCATTACCCCATCACTTTCAAAATTAAAAAAATAAAGCTATTTTCTTTTAAACCATAGCCACCGTTGCAAGCAGAAGTTGGTGCTTAGAGGGAGAGAGCTCTACCGGAGCGCCGATCTGGCCGAAGACCATGGAATCTGTTAACGAATACGGAAACAGAATTATGCGATATGAAAAATCAAACAATACGAACACCGGAGTTTACGTGGTATCCCTGGATATAATCCAGGACTAATCCACGGAAGAGCTTGGAACGCTCTTCAGGCTACTGATTTTACTGAGATGATCAGATGATACATGTTACAGCCGGCTGAACTCTCCTAACCCTTATATATCAATGCCCTAGGTTTAGGAACAACAGTGACGTCCAAAACCGTGCATGGGCATGGGCCTTAATTAATGAATGGGCTTAACACTAATCACTCTAACATCACAAGTTAATCCGCAGCCCCAAGGTTCTAATATGCTATCACCCTCCCCCAAATTGATGCCGATCTCTTAGCATCAATTTGTTACCAAGGTACCAGTGACGACTAGTAGAAAATGCCTTGGTGAATAGGTCTGCGACTTGTTCTTCTGTAGGGAGGTGATGTAGACTGATGGTGCCATCCCGTACCAGATCACGAACATAGTGTACATGTATCTCAATATGCTTAGTACGGTCGTGAAGAACCGGATTAGCTGCAATTCTAATGGCACTGGTGTTGTCGACATAAAGAGCCATAGGTGCTGGGCACGCAACACCAAAATCGGAAAGGAGCCTTCGTAACCACACCATTTCAGAACCAACTTCGGACATAGCTCGATATTCTGCTTCAGTGGATGATTTGGAGACTTTATCCTGCTTTTTGCATCGCCAGGAAATAAATGCACCGCCAAATTTCACACACCACCCAGAAGTTGAACGACGAGTATCAATGCACCCTGCATAGTCGGAATCAGAATAGGCAGTAATTTCAGCTGAACCAGTAGAAGAAAAGAGGATCCCGACATCTTGAGTTCCTTGCAGATACCGCAGAATCCTGTGAACAGCAGCAAGATGATCGGCACAAGGAGCAGTCATAAATTGACTGACTATCTGAACAGCATATGAAATGTCGGGACGAGTAGCTGAAAGATAGATTAGACTTCCCACGATACTGCGATACTGAGCTCCATCTTTCAGTCGTTCTCCTGAGTCCTTTTGTAGCTTCAAATTAAGTTCCATAGGAGTCTTAACTGGATGGCAGTTATCAAAATTATGTTCACTCAATAGATCAGAAATATACTTCCTCTGGCTGAGCAGGATCCCTTGATCATTACGGCTAACTTCCAGACCCAAAAAATATGAAAGATTCCCGAGATCCTTGATACTAAAAGCTTGCTTCAAACCATCTTTAAGCTGATCAATCCCCATCGGATCAGATCCAGTGATCACCATGTCATCCACATAGAGTAAAAGAACGACAATTCCAGTTGGAGATACCTTGGTGAAGAGTGAAGGATCATTAAGACTCTGCTGAATTTGGACCTTGGGGCTGCGGATTAACTTGTGATGTTAGAGTGATTAGTGTTAAGCCCATTCATTTGCAGTACACACAATAGTTCCTTCTACGACAGTGTTTCACTAAATGGCCTTTCTCATGGCAATGATGACACTCCAGCTCGGCATTTGGAACACGATTGTGGAATTGAGGACGTGTAACAGCATTCACTTGAGAATTTGGACCCATACCTGTCCTCATAGAAGACGCAGAGGCCGCAGCAAATGCTTCTCCTTCTCCTGGGCGAACATCAATTAACGCCTGAGCTCGGAGTCTTGTCTCTTCACGCACAAGAGTGCTGATCACTCCATCAAAGGTAATCTTCTCCCGATTCAGTATGGTGGCTCTTACATTCTCAAATTCGGGTCTCAATTTCATGAGAAATTGCATCACACGGGACTGTTGACGTTCAGCCAGCGAATCATCAGTCATGGCTTGGGGACGAAGAGCCAAATAAAGCATATCCTGCTCTGTCCACAACTCTTGAGCTGCGTTAAAATATTCAGTGACAGAGCTATCTCCCTGCACCAGGCGAGCAAGAGCCGCCTCTACCTCAAATTGCCGAGCAGCGCTTGTTGTGGAATACAACCCCGACAGATGGCGCCACATTCGGTTGGCAGTAGGGAATAAACGGAGGCTGAGGCAGGTGGAAGGATCAACGGTGCCTAACAGTAAGGAGCGGATACGAGCGTCATTTTGGTTCCAAGTCGCCATCTCTTGTGGCGTTGCTGACGCAGCAGTTGGTTGCGGGATCGTACCATCCAGGATTCCCAGCAATCCTTTTCCTTCCACAAAGACTCGAAACTGGAACTCCCAAAGAGCGTAGTTTGTCGAAGTGAGGCGCACGGTTGGCCTCTCAGAATCAGTTGCGGTGAGCTCTGATACCATGTTAACGAATACGGAAACAGAATTATGCGATATGAAAAATCAAACAATACGAACACCGGAGTTTACGTGGTATCCCTGGATATAATCCAGGACTAATCCACGGAAGAGCTTGGAACGCTCTTCAGGCTACTGATTTTACTGAGATGATCAGATGATACATGTTACAGCCGGCTGAACTCTCCTAACCCTTATATATCAATGCCCTAGGTTTAGGAACAACAGTGACGTCCAAAACCGTGCATGGGCATGGGCCTTAATTAATGAATGGGCTTAACACTAATCACTCTAACATCACAAGTTAATCCGCAGCCCCAAGGTTCTAATATGCTATCAGAATCACCAGCGACAAAATTCTCTACTTGGTCCTCAAGCTCTCCGACCTCCTCCTCGTCATCGTCCGCACCACCTGCGGCTAGGAAATCGAGTTCCGCTTTGACGGGTACCGAAACGTCGGATACCTAAAACACCGGGATCTTCCAAGAGGGAAACGGCTTCCCACGTCAACGAGCAGGAGGCAAAGAGACAATAGTGAGAGGCAAGTCGGACGCTTCGACCATCCCATCGCCAGAGTCCGATTCCCTTAACAAATGGGCCCAACGCACCCACTTCCGCATTAACGACTCCCTCTGTTCGTTCTTTTTCCCCACAACTTCCCAATTGACTATCTTAACACTCTGTTTCTTAACTAATTCACTCTCATGAGGGGCAAAGGCACGTCGGCGACGAGGATGGGGGAAGATGTTTATGGGTTGGATGGTGCAGAGCACTCTGCAGCTCATGGGATTTAAAGCTGGCCATGCTTTCGAGGTTAAAACTCCGACCTTCCCCATCTCTGTTTTGGAATTTTCCTCTTCTGTTTTTTTTTTTTCAAATTCAAGATTCGGTTGCGGTTTTAGGACACCGACGATGGCATTCCGGCTTCCTTGCATGATGATTTCCCGGGCATTACTGTTTCCTTTTTTATTCTGGAGTAGGACTGGGAATCAGGACTCTTAGATCCGGACTGTAACTTGTTTTTTTCAGAAACGTTCTTGGCATTTAAATTTATGAAAGGGAAGTGTGAAGGGGATTAATGCTTTGAATCTTAACAGCTTCGATTGATTTAAGGCCAAGCCAGGTCAATGATGCCTTTGTCCCACCATTGATGATTCTCACGGGAATCGCCGGTCTTGTTCTCGAAGCGTCATGGCGGAGTTGCACTAGCAGAGTAGTGGCAGGGTCGGGATCCGGAGAGAAAAATGAAGGAGGAAATAATTATTTGTTTTATTAATTTTAAATTTAATGTGATAATGAGGTAGAATTTTTAATAGATTAATTTTTTTTTATTTTTTAATGGCCACGTCACCTATTTAACGGTCAACTATGAGAGTTGACCGCCACATCAGCAAAAGTTAACGGAGACTAACGGCTAGTGACCAAACTTGGACTGTTAACCTAATTTAAGTGACTACGGATGGAATAAAGTAATTCTAGTAGCTAACGTGAAATTTACTAGTAATTCAAGTGACCAAACTTGCAATTTAGCCATTTATTTTATTTATTATTTTTTAATTGCCACGTCACCGAGTTAACGGTCAACTTTAAGGGTTGACTGCCACATCAGACATATTTAACAGAGTTGGACGGAGAGTGACCAAACTTGAACCATTTAACTAATTTGAGTGACCAAGATTGGATTTAAATATTTTCAGTGACCAAACATGAACGTTTTTTGTAATCTCAGTGACCAACCATGCAATTAACCCATAATATACTGAATCGCTATTCGTCGCCCTAAATTTTAAATTTTATCGCCCTAAAATGCACCAAATTGACACTATTACCCTCTCATCTCACTTTCTAGCCAGCCCCCTGGACAAACAATCTGTTACCCTGCCCAAGCTGCCGCCGACCTCAACCCGGACGCTATAGCTGTCGAATTCTTCTCTCCGACAGCTACCCAGCTCAACCTGACCGCCGCCGGTGCTCTGCTTCCATTGTCGGAGTTGATCCCAAGGGAGTAGAAAGAAGACGAAGAAGAAGAAGAAGGCCGCCGCCTACCTCCTCGTTCGTTCTCTCTATATCTCTATGAACGGCGGCGAAAGTTGCTGTCTATGCACGGGTCTTGTTGCTGTGAGATAGTTACTATTGTTGCGCAGGTAGCAGACAAAGGAATCACGTTTGAGTACTGTTTGTTTTTTATTTCATCCTTTGTATATTGAGTTTTGGTTTTGATTTGAGAAATTCTTGAAGCCGGGGGAAGAGAAAAAAAGTTAGCCGGGGAGAAGATGAAATGAGCAACGTGGTGATAGGGATGCTCTCCATTGCTTCCATTTCTCTTGAGGGATTTTTTTTTTGGTTTCCAGGCGTCGAACGGGTTTAAAACCTGTCCCAACTCGCCGGATTTGGCTTTTCAATCTTTCCGGCACTTCCAATCGCGGGTACGAAAGACAATAAATTAAGAAGGATATTTTAGTCATTTTAGTAAACGTTAGGGCGACGAATAGCAATGCTCACGCAAATCCCTAAGCCCATACAACACGCTTTCATTATTCAACGTATATTGTGGTTGTAAGTTAGTTATCATTATTTTTAAGTAAGTTAGCCATTATTATTAACAAGTTTTTAATAATATTTGTGTATATCATTGATGATACTTTGTATGGAAGGCTAATAATAATGATTGTGTAGTATTCATTATACACAGCATAGACATTAATAACGTTAGGTCGCAATGTTAATAACTTCCCAACAAATGTTAATAATTTGTTACTAATCATTATTAACGTTATATTATTTAGGTTGAAAAAGAAGAAATCTCGTTATATAATTAATAATAGTCGATCGCGTGGTCGGTTACTAAGGTGTAATAATATGGGTTGCTATTGTTGATAGGTACTAGAGTTCTCTTTTCAATTTGGTTGATAACGTATTTATAACATAATATAAAAATGTTAATAAGTCATGGAAATAAGTTAATCTTTTTGTAAAGGGGTAAAATTGTCGGTTAACAAGGTTGCTGAAAATTATTAAAAATGTAAATTTATTCTTTTAATAACGTATTGTCATAGTGTCGTGCTCGAAAGCAATGTTTGATAATATTTGTTGATGAGGTGGTTGAATATTATTAAGAGCATAACTGTAATTTATTATAACGTTGCTGATAAGTATATATATGCAACGATGCGGATCGGAATGAAATGTCGTGTGACGAAAACTTCGAGGGCCAAGATGTTGGTAACAACTTGGACAGAGGACATGATGGGATCACAATGGACACTAAGATGTTTCGTGTTGCAAACGTAGGATTTGTCTTGGCCGGCACATGGTGTACATCTGACTTCTCCGCGACCATAGCACTATCAAAGCTTGATTGATGGGAACAAGAATAAGTGGCTCATCAGCAACAAAGCCATCACGGTTAATCTCGCCTTGTCTAAAATTGTTGATAATGCGATGAAAAATATTAATAATGGAATAATAAACGTTAACAATGATAATATATTAATAATAGTACACATTAATTCAACAATGAGGAAAGTAAAAGTGCATGTAAAAAAATGTTGATAATGACGGTGAAAATATTATTAATTGGCAAAGAAACATTGATAATGAATCCTGACTAATAATAGTACACGTTCATGATACAAATGATTAATAATAGTGCAAGTCTAAAGAATTGATAATGGCTGCTGAAAATAATAATATTAATGACAAAAAGCCCACAATAGGACACGTTAATCACACCATTGATTTAAAACATCGCCCGTAAGAAAATATTGATAACAACCTTAATAATAATAATAATAATAATGGTGATAAAAAACCCCAAACCCATGCACACCAAACGAAAAACCTAAACTACTTACCAAAACAATATATTATAAGAAAATTGCCTTCTGAAACGAATCGGCCCGCCGAAGGTAAGCTACGCCGGAAGGAAGTGAAGGGAGCGACTGTGGAGGCAGGCTACGCCGGACGGGAGCGAATCCGGAGGTAGTCTACGCCCGTCCGAAATACAGAAGACGTTGTTGACAGATGTCTCGGCCCGAACAATGTAGTTGGTGTCGGCAAGAGACTGACGTACGTTGCAGCCGACGGCGGGAGCGGGGGAGCGTTGCCAAAGGAACCGACGCCACTACTGATTTATAGAAGTAGGTCGCCGCCGGTGTACCGGAAGCAAAAACGAGGGGCGGAGAATCGTGACGGGAGCCGAAACGCCGGGCGGAGAACTTTGCTTGGCGGAAACATTCAGAGGAGAGAAACCGTTCGGCTCGGAGGAAGGAATAAGAGACGTGGGTTAGGGTTTTTGAAAAAGAAAGAGACGCCTGTTTTAATTTAATTGTAGTCTCCTTAATACCCCTAACAACTATTTAACTAATAACTCTCTACTAACTACCTAAATTTGAGTTAGCCAATCAGAAGGCTTTAAGTTCCTCTTTAAAAAAGATGCCTTAAGGACATGAACTTAGGCCAGTCAAACCACATCATTGAAAAGCTAAGCCAAAAACACAACGGCCATAAAACCACAAAATGTAGAGCAAAGCCCACAAGACAAACAGGCTTGACTGAAGAAGCCCTAGCAAACTAATCTTTCCTCCACACATGAGAGCAGCAGCTGCCAGAAGCAGACCCTGAAAATCGACGACGACGAATGGAACCCTCAGAACAGCGACCGCATGTCACACCCTTTCACTAGAATTTTGTGATATGCATAGACATCGGGTATTAAAAGGCACGACACATGTGCTTAAGAAAAGCAGTGATTAAGTTATCAAATAATTAGTACGAAGTGATTAAGTTAACCCTCTAAATACATAATGCACTTTAAAATTCTATGTGTGGGACTAGCTTCGTTTCCCTCAACAGAATTCATGTATATGTATTAAATGAGAAGACTATGTGTCATTGTCCTCATCTAATTGCCCTCTTCCACTTACACCTGCACCCTCACATAATTCCCAACCCATTCAAGTCAACTCCACGTATAACCTCTTATCTAGAAGTAAATGGGAAGAGATGGAAAGGATGGGGTGGGAAAGAGTGGTCCTGGAGAAACCCATCCCTCTCAAACTTTTCTTTGGCATCCGAAATACCCCGACCATTTCCTTCCTTCTGGTATTCCCATTCGCCACAGGGATTGCTAAAACAAGTAGAACTAGCAAAGGAGGCATCAACTTCACAAGGTAGCTTTTCCCGCTTGTTAGAAATCTCTACTTGCCGCTTGGGTTAAGGGAGGAAAAGTGGGTAGTCCTTTATTAAGTTTTACGGATGCATGTAAATGGATGGGTTTTGGGTAACTTTATGCATGAAAGTTACTTTAGAGTTCAAGTACGGAAAGATGGATTAGAGTGATTTCATGTTCAATGAGCTCATAACTAGAAGAGCTTCCTCTTAATTAGTAGTTGCTGCATGTGGGGGGAAAGCTAAGAAGCTAAGGAAATCACAGTTAATGAGTGCTCATCAAGTTAGAGAAAATGGGTCTTAGCTTGTGGGAAAGGTGGAAGTTGGTGGGATGGATATACGTATAAATACAAGTACATATACCTATACATGGTTGTTTATGGTTGTTTATGTGTGATATGAGCACTTGATTAGTTGGGATTGAAATTGTTTGTCCCATATGATATTGAGTTAAGAAAGTATAAAGATAATGAAGCCATTAATTAAAATATAAACGGAGTGGGAGTGGAGCAATGTGCTTTTGGGAATTCTTGATGGGTAAATATTTTCGAGTGAGTTAGTTAAGTTATTTATTTTGCATCCTCAATGTACGCTAGTCCTTTTGCTTTAACGATATGATATTTATATTGAGTGAATAAAGTAAGTGATATGGGTTAATTGCTAGCCTATTAAACGTGATTAATTGATTTTGTGTAAAGGAATGCAACAAGCAGGAGAATCATCGAAGCAAAAGGGAATAGCTGAATAAAAGTTGTATTGTGAGTAAATTCTAACCTAATGTTTATCTTAATATGATTATGGTTTTTCGGGTCAGCGGCCCGAGTACAACGTGTATGATGGTTTGGTAAGCTTTAAACCAATTGTGATTGAGTATCGATATGTGGTATGGTTACATGATTGAATGATTGATTTAATTCTCCTATGATTGGATGATGTTACCGTAGCATGGTAATTATATGATAATGTGATGATATGATGAAATGATTGTATGATGATATGACCAGAAGGTCATAATACATGTTGTTGTGTGTGTGCTAACGATATTATGTGATGAGTATATGATATGTGAAATGTCATTTGAGGCGGTCAAGTGGAAAGAATGGCAAGAAAGGTTGCCTTTTGTCAATTATACGAGATGAGATAAAATGGCATATGAGTCATGCAAGTGAATGTGATATGAAATGGCCCTTGGGTCACACAAGTGATATGTTTAGTCGTGACTAACTATAAGATTATGCATGATCACCTAAAGCAAACGTAATGGCACCCTGTCATGCACTCATTACAAGTGAAAAGAGGCTTCAAGCCTAAGAGATAAAAAAGTTATACGAGAACTCCTTTTAAGGAGTAATGCCCGGCCTGGCTACGAGTTTATGAGATATGGCACGCTCTGCCCCTCGAGTTAACGAGTTCATGAGATAAGGCACTTTGTGCCCACGAGTTCATGAGATAAGGCACTTTGTGCCTATGAGATTACGAGATCACGAGATTACGAGTTCACGAGGTTCCGGGGAGTGCATGACTTGGCAAATTAAAGAATAAAACCTACTGAATCCAGCTAACTATATGTATGTGTATGATTGGATGCTGATTCATTGTTGATTTTGGATGCAACATGAGTATGTGAATGCCAAGCTCGATATTTGTCATCTTTGTGTGATATATGATTGATCTTCTATGATGAGTAGTACAACGATTGATCAAGAAGATGTTGGACGTGTTGATAGAAGTGTAAAATATGAAGGAAAATTTCGTATGGGATATAAGAATAAATACAAACCATATGCAACACCAGGTAGGGTAAAGTAAAGGAGAAACCTTAAACGAAGGATATATGGCATATAGGAATGACCCATAACGTATACGTGATAGATCAAGTGAACGAGGGAAGAAATTTCGTAAGAATCTAGATAGGTGAGACCTAAGTAAAGTTATTAAGTGATTAGATATACATTGAGTATAATGGACGGAAGACACTCAGAGTCACAACATAGCCTGATATCATTTTCGTATTAATATTTTTATTAGGTTATTATTTACTCATTGAGTGACATCTCACCCCATCAATATTTTTCCCAGATGAATAGCTAAAATGGGTGAAGGCCATGGGACGAAGCAAGTTAGAGTTTGACATCGATGAGGTGAGTGGAAGGCTGAACTCTCCACAATGTTTTCTACTGGAAATTTGAAGATGGGTTTTTCCCAGAAAAAAATATGAACCAAGAGTTTGAGGATTTTGGTAAATAGTTGACGATGTGCATACATTTTTATGGGTTTTAAATGGAGAAAAGCAGTTGGGTGTTACACCGCAAAGAGGAAACCCTGAAGCCACCAAGGACGGGAAGCGCAGCAAGACGTCTGAAGAAAGGGGAAAGCGGACGACATGATTCGAAACCACCGAAACTCACAGAGACATGACGAAACCCAGGGTACCGCCACCTCAACAGTCAAAGCACATGCACCAGAGATTGATTAGTAGCCCAAGTGGAACGAACCTCGTCTTTGTGCTTCATGAAACTGCAACCACGGGAAGGTCACAATAGGACTCTCAAGTCTTTTCCGAGACACCTAATCGAAGAGGTGAAGCAAGGAGGAGGAACAGAAAACATGAAGGAGAAGACAGGTTAAAAGAATCTCAACCTCCTCTGTCACCAGCAAAACATCTCAACTGAATAGATCTAAAGATCTGACACGAGGAGGAGGAAAATAGAAGGAGAGAGACTGTTGACACAGTCACACAATAAGAGGAAAATAGAAGGATGCATTGCACTGGACTGAGGAATAATTGCGTGCCCTCTCCCTCCCATCACATGCCATGCCATTGCCACTGAACTGAAAAGATAAAAGAACCAAAATGAAAGAGACGACACTTCTCTTCTCTTATCATCTCTTGTCTTCTCTCTCTCAAGTTCAAAAAGAATCTCCAATTAATCCATCATCACCGAAACCACAACTTCCCCATTACTGTTTTGGCAGTTCTTGTTGTAACCCATCCTCCCACAACCTTCCGAATTCATGGTTTAAAGTGTAATGGGAGAATTTGGCTTAGAGAATGGTATATGATTAGTGATGGGAATGGTGCAGGGCGGGACCGCACTACAACAAAAAAAACTATACAACCAAATCAAATTTGGTTGCGAAATGGTTGATATTTACGATCAATTATATTTTGGATGCTAAAATATTAACAAATTGGTTGTCTATTAAAATCATAGTATTGATAACCAAATAATTTGATAGCAATTTTTTTTTTACTTTTCCCAACCAAATAATAGTGATAGCAAAATAATGTTTACTTTTTCCAACCAAATAATTTGGTACCGTATTAATTTTTACTTTTTGCAAACAAAAATTATTGGTTCAAATTTAAACATTTATTTTTAAAAGGGTAATGTGTATTTTTATCCAAATTTTTTTCAGGTTCTTGTATATTATCCAAACCTATTAAAATGCTATTAATTAGTAATGAGAATGGGGCAGGGCGAGACGACGGGTACCTCAATACCCATGCTCCGTCCCACGGATTTTGACCAAACAACACAAAGTGCCGCCTCCTTTGCTTCATTCAACCAACGCCAAGTATTCGATGAAAGAAAAGAATGCCGTGTGGACATCCTTCCTTTCTCCTTATTGCGACAACTTCCTAATTAGTCATATGAGGTGAGAGATCATCAGACGGTGGGCGGTGGTGCGACTGGATATATCAACTCCGTCGATCGGAGCGGCGGGTACTTTCTTCTCCACCACCACAAAGTCCAAAGTTTGTTAGGAAAGCTGTGATAACTACATGTGCCATCTTTTTTTTTTTTTTTTTTTAAAATAATTCAGCAAACACATGAATATATATTTGTATAGCGGCAAAACCATACGATTTAATCCAATACATTACAAAAATCTAAGAGGGAAATCTACTTAGTGGAATAAAGCCAAACCGTGACCGAACCACGTTAAAAATTCTTGTGTTCTTTACGATTATTTGTTTGAGTCGTTGACAATTTGCGGATCCACTAGGCCGGGGTCCGTCATAACTAGGGCTGAAAGTTTGGTACCGGTATTAGGGATATACCGAATATTGTACCGAATTTGTCTATATTTGGTATTACCGAATATACGTATTATTTTGTGGAATTGGGATTGGGATTGAGTTTCAATTGTTATTCGGTATTAGGGATTACGGGATTAGGATCGGTATATACCGATACCGATCAATACCGAAATATAAGCTAGTATGCATTCTTTCCTCTCAACTAGACTCTCTTATTCACTATTACGCGGCCCTCAACCACCAAGAGTGTCATTTAATTATACATAGATCATTACATCACTATTTCTTTAGTATTAGTCTTCTCTCAACCTCAAATTCATCAGATTAAAGATTATCAATCACAAAAACTTGAGATGTTAGCTCTAGGCAACTTAAGACTCTTTGCTTAGTCTCTTTGTCCTAAATTAAACAATAAAATCTAATTTATATTTTTAATTATTAATGGCAAACATAATTAATTTTGTATTTGATAATACCGATTGGGAAACCGAGGTACCGATTGGGATACCGAAATATTTAGGGATTGGGATTGGGATACCAAAATTATTTAGGGATTGGGATTGTGATTGATTTTAAGGTGTAATTCGGTATTCGGGATTTCGGTATTTGGTATTGGAATACCCACTGGCGGATTCAAGGGGTGGCCACCCCAGGCCCCGGCCCAGCCCTCCTCTGGATCCGTAGTTAGTATAGTCCTTATGAAATTTTCGATTTTAGACATTCGACCTAGTGTTATTTTATGATATGATTGGGTTTAACTAGAAAACTTATCAAGTTGAACATATTCAAATCACTACTCTAAGGCGGGTATGAGTACTTTTCTAAGTTGTTACATTCTTAATTCGTTTTACCTAAATTACATGTATTTTACTCAAATAACTTAGGACTTTACCTTTATAGTCTCATATTTTAGCTACAATGAAGTTGTAATTAGTTGAGAATTTCAATTTCTCGAATAATTTTACTACATTTATCATGTTATAGTTTGTTTTTCGGTTTTAAATGAAAAATTAAATATTTTTCCTTAAATTACATATCATATAGGTCAACTTGCAAAAACCCTTGTTTCATGGTAAATTACTTACTTTGATTCAATCTGCTACCAAATGGATATGGGTATCAAGATACTCACTCGAGCTTATGCTAAGCTTCTCCTTTATGAAAGGACAAACAACCTAACCCAATTTATTTGTCCAATTTATCATGTAAAATACAAAAATTCTAGCATGCATCACCCGTTTTGTCCGACCTGTTTGACTTGTTCTGGGGTGAGTAATACACGTCCCGTAAGCGGGGCGAGGCGAGTATGAGTACTTTTCTCGCCCTAAATTTTTACATTCTTGATTCGTTTTACCTAAATTACATGTAAGTTTTGTATTTTACTCAAATAACTTAGGATTTTACCTTTAATATCTCATATTTTAGCTATAATGAAGTTGTAATCAGTTGAGAACCTCAATTTCTCGAATAAATTTACTACATTTATCATGTTATAGTTTGTTTTTTGGTTTTTAATGAAAATGAATATTTTAATGATTTTCCTTAAATTACAGATCAATATAGGTCAACTTGCAATAACCCTCGTTACATGGTAAATTACTTACTTTGATTCAATCTGCTACCAGATGGATATGGGTATCGAGATACTCACTCGAGCTTATGCTAAGCTTCTCCTTTATGTAAGGACAAACAACCTAACCCAATTTACGTATCCATTATATAAGTTGTATCCAAGTATTTACAGGCCTATGGATTACTGCAAATGCATTTAATTTGTGCCCTATCTATGGACGAGCAAGAAAACAAGAGGGGATCCAAATCGTTGTGTACTTGTGTTCTCATCCCAATAGGTGCCCTTCAATTTTGTAATGGACTAATTTTTGTGTATCTACAAATACATTATAGAAGAGTTGGAGATTTGTCTTCACAATTATTATTTATTTTTTATTCATAAGAAAAATAATATTACTATCGGAATTTGAACCACGGTCCTTTCAGACGAAGACAATAATCATTACCAATTACACTAAATAAATGTTATCTATATTTTTAAATAAAAAATACAAAACCTAAAATTTGAAAATCATATAACTATTCCACTACTTGTAGCTAACCCACTAACTCTCAGGTAAATACTTTCCTTGTGTTGATATTTGAATTTTTATATTTTCATTATTTGAATTTGTGTTTAATAATAAATTTAATTTATTTATATCTTATAAATGAAGCGTAATTTTAAAATTGCAACCGAAATATATTCTATTTTAATATTGCATATTGAATTACAGTAATGAATGTGTACATGTGTTGTAGAATTCTTAACTCAGTATTAAATTTTAGAACTACCATAAAGCAACGATATTGTTATGCTTATGCAAACTATAAGTGATAAGTTCTTTGAAAGTTTTAGTTCGGTTAATCGTTAAATCCTAAATCTCTTGATAATATATCATTATTGGACCCATGGATGAGTTTAAAAAACAGAATTTATGAATACCAATTTTGTAGATGATTTCACTTATTTATATCTTTTATCTTATAAAGTAATTGACCATGTGTATCATTTAGAGTTATTTAGTTTAATATGATGATATGATCCCAAATAGGCCACTCTGCAAGTTGGAATTACTTGACGAAGAAGTAAGCTCAAGCTGGCTGAAGAACATTCATTTCTGTCAGTGTCATTTTCCGTGTTCAAGTAGCCAATTTTGGAGGAAATTTTCTCTCAATTGGCTAAAAAAAAATTCATGTTTAATGGCTTGTATTGAACATGGAGTGATTATCTACACCTTGGTATGCTAGGTTGCTCAAGAAGAAGTCATTAAGGTTGTTTTCCAAAGTCTCAAAGTTGCTACCTCAAAACTGGAAAACTGCCAGAAAATGTCTAAGGCAGAAAACTGTGTTGAGATACCAACTTTGAAGGCCTATATCTGGAGTTTGGAGAATGATGTCGGGCTGTTTCAAGTTGGAGGTGAAAGAGGGAGTATTCTTCTACAAAGGAAAGGAATTGGTTGAGTTCGAATCAACTTGGAAGGCTTTGATCGAGAGGCTCAAAGATGGCATCAAAGCTGTTTGGTTACTTGGAGCTAAAGGCAGATTTTCCTTTTATTGTTTAGTTAGGATTTCATTGTTTTGGTAGTTTTTGATTCCTTTTCGTATTAGAATGTAATTAGGAGTTTATGGGACGTGTGTAACCCTAGCTAGGCCTATTTCGTTGTAAAACTCAGACTTTGTTGAATAGAAATCGAAACCTTTGGGTTTTTGCA